CACACTTAGACAATCAGGGAACATCACAAGTGTAGATCAGCCTACTGGTCCCCTAGTTGCTCATCAGGACAGATCCAGCTGAGCATAGGTCCTCCCAGAAATTAGGCCTGTGGCAGAGCCCCCTCTGTGACCACATCTGCTTCTCATCTAGGTGCCTGTAAGCTGATGAAGTGCAGATGTGATCCTTCTCCACAGAGTTAACTCAGACAACAGGAAATTCTCAAGCCTTGGACAGGGCCTCGAGGGTGTTTACTTCTTGGAATTGATGCCAGATGCACAGATCCCAGAACTCTGCATTGGAGTTGGAGCTGTCCCATCCTTGAGAGAAGTTGTGAGGGAGTTGTGTGCAGAGAATGTCAAGAATCTTGTGGGAGTTGAGATGGTCCTGGTCTAGAGACAGCCACAGGAAGTACAGTGTGCATTTGTGGAAAAGGCTGGCAGCCGTTTCTTGGACCTAGGCTCTTACAGGAGCTGAGGCCTGGCCCTCCCCATGTGGTGCACAGCAGCTTCAGCCCAGCCAGAGCGGGCCTTTGCTGACTTTAAGGGACCCTCTCCCAAATTCTCCCCGCCTGGCTGGGGCCTGTGCCTCTAGCACAAGCTGTTCAGACCCCCTGCTTGATTCAGTCTCAGGCAGAGGCCCATGTGGAAATAGCCAGACATTTCAGTGATGTGAAAAGATCTTTGTCACGTACAGGGCCAGGGAAGCACAGCAACACCGAGACAAGTCTCCAGCCTGTCTCCCACTCAGCAAAAGGGCCAGACCCTCCTGGTGGGAAAAGAGAAGACCCAGGGCACACGACAGCCAGCTTTGTCTACAGGCCAGTGACTGCACTTATTTAGTTATATATTTCCCAACACCGGATATGGATACAGCCGTTGCTTTCTAGACGGTGCAGAAGAGGGGCTAGCCAGGGACACAGGCAGCCAAAAGGCCATATCCTTCCCTCCATCTAGCCCTCATACCCCGGCCTTAGGAGGCAGCAGAAGTAAGCTGTTCTTTTGGTTTCATTTTTTTGAGACAGGCTCTTACCATGTAACCCTGACTATCCTGAAACTCACTGTGTAGACCAGGCTGGCCTCAAACTCACAGAGATTCTCCTGCCTCTCTGCCTCCTGCATACTGGGATTAAAGGTGTGTGCCACCATATCCAGCTTTGCAAACATTTTTTAAGCATCTAATCATGTAAACTAGTAGGAACAGGATGATTTTTTAAATGGCCTCCTATCTAGCTACCATCTTGCTGTAGACACAACCGCCTGTGCTTCATACACTCAGCTAGCCCAGCAAGCCCGGGAGGGCACTGGCAGACCCTGTCCCTTCTGAGAGTTCTGTGTAGCTCACTGGAGTTGTGCTGAGAGAACCAAGCATTTCCTTTGGGATTCCAGACTTGCCACTCGATGGCATTTCTAGAAACAGCATTGACTTAAAGAAACCTTCTCCAAAGAGTTGGCAGGCATCCCACAGGATCCGACATGAGGCCCAGAGCCCCCTTGTGAGAGGCCATGCAAAAGGATAATAAGGAGTTTAAAGAGTGGGACTTACTGCTTGAGGCTCCAGATGACCAGCCTCTGCCTGATGTGTATCCAGGCATAGCAGTTCCTGTCGGGATGCTGCCCTGGCCAGGACCATGTGGCCACAGCAGGTTTTCCACATATACTGCCTCAGGGCTGCCATGAGTCATTTGATTTCCAAAGCCCAAAGCAAGAGAACAGTGAGTTCACCTGCTGGAAAAATAGCTCAGCAAGGTGCTGCCCGATGACTGGCACTTCTTAGAGGTCCTCAGCTAGCTCATGTGCCACCTCTCCAGAAAAGCTCTTGTGTGTTTTGAAAATTGCAGCCCAGAGTGTGAGAAGCCCCAGGAGAGGCTGTGAAGGGATGGAGATGAGCCTGTAGTCGGGGAAGTTGAAGCCCTCCACAGCTGGCTGGGATTGAAGCATACATGCTTACCTCTCTCCTAGCACAGCACCTTGACCCCATGTTACTACGTAGACCTCTGGTCAGGCTTCACCCCCTATAAGCAGTAGTCACCACGAGTGTCACTGCTAAAATGTAGACATGCTTGTCCTCATCTTTCTTGATACATATAGCTGTGGAATCAGAGTTCTAGCAGGCCCCAGACAGGTCAAAATAACCGATGGACAGAATATGCTGGCTTGAAGGAAAGGATACCTGGATATGTAAATTTTCAACCATAGACACAGCGGTGGTCACCCCCACCCCAGCCAACGCCTGAGCTGACTTATTTGGTGTTTTCCTTCCACTTCCATTCAAATCAGGGAGTCTAAATGTGGGTCATCCATGGGTCATCTAGCTGCCCACAGTAGGACTTGGCCCAACAGATTGAGATTCCTCTTACCCATCTTTCTTCCTGGACAAATCCTTAGGAAAAGGTTCAGGACAACTGTGTTTCAGGCCCCACCCCCCACCCCCAGAACAGCAGCCAGCCTGGTGTGGGCAGCTGCCTTCCAAGTTCCTTAGTTCTGCCAAGTCTGTGAGGCTAGGAAAGGACAGACCTGCCCCACTTCCTGAAAGAAGGCTGCCACTCTGGCCAGGCTTTGTCTGGGGGGAGCCTGGAATGTGATGAGAGGGCCTGAGGTAAATGCTTCTATAAGGATGCTCCTGTCAGCACGCCCCGAGGCCTTGTGGCTGCTCTGCATAGTGTGTGTATGTGTGTGTGTGGGGGGGGGGTTTAACTGCATGTGTATGTGCATTCCTGTGTGTATAACACTGCCGTGGTCTTAGAACAGGAAGAACCTATTTCCAGTTAGCCTAAGCAGAGGCGGGAACTGTGTAGATAATAAACTGGTTCCCTTTCCCACCTCTGCATTCAATGTTGTCCCAAGCTATGTGTTTACAAAAGGCTTCTGTGCCTGAGGCAGGGACTCTCTGAGAAGGTCCAGGCTCACAGTGGACTACCTCAAAATGAGGGACAAAGAAGGGTCCACTGTCCAGCCACACATCAGGGTCTGGCCCTGCTCCAGGCCCCTAGATTGAGTTGGAGTTGTGGACTCCCTTCACCCCAGCTTTCCAAACACTGACTTCTGTCTGGGAGAGGTAATGTAAGGCTGTCGTGGCCCCTTCTTCCTGTAGGGTCCCAACACGGGAAGTAGTCTAGGAAACAGGAGTCCATTGCTCAGCTGTAGGATCCATCCCCCCACTTGGTGGTTATATGCACCATCAGATGCTGAGAAGGGGCTGGTGGGCACCCTAAGCTCTGGCTTGCAAGCTGACAAGGCCGCCTCTCTTCTGTCTGCAGTGAGACTGTCTGGGAGAACCTGGCACGCATGTGTGTGGAGACTCAGAGGCTGGATGTTGCCAAGGTGTGCCTAGGGAACATGGGCCATGCCCGTGGGGCCCGAGCACTTCGGGAAGCTGAGCGGGAGCCAGAACTGGAAGCCAGAGTGGCCATGCTGGCCATCCAGCTGGGCATGCTGGTGAGTGGTCCCAGTCTCAGACAGACAGACATCTCTTGGGGGCAGAGAGGAAGGTGGTTATTCCTGCCACATTGCCAAGCTGAGCCTGCAGTAAAAAGGGCAGAGGCTGCTAAGCATAGACCCTCCTCAGCTAAAGTCTAGTAATACAGGGAGGGCTGAGGAGACAGAGGGAGGCTGGCAGGTGGACAGGCAGAATCTGCCTATTGGTCTCTTGGGGCATGGAGCCTACAGAAAGGAGACAGAAGGTGTTCCTGGTAGATGTCCATCTACAAACAGGAGTCCCGCAAAATATCCTAAACTATTGGTTGGTTTCCTAAGGCCTCTGGTCTCTACTGGGGCTACCTCCTCCCGCCTTCAGCCCAAAGATACTGACACATTCCCCACAGTCAAGTGCTGCTGCCTTGGCTTAGTGTGCATACAACGGACAGACCTCTGAGCAGGGAACTGTGGGGTGCAGGCATTCCACTCACACATGTACTGCATGGCAGGAGCACCCCAGAGGACTTCCATATTTGTAGGGGAGCACAGAAGTTCTGCAGGACTCCCCCGGCCCCCCAGAGGACACCTGGGCTGTAGCAAGGTTAAACATTCCCTCAGCAATGTACAGGTCTAACTGGTGACTGGAAAGTCACATGGACACACGTTGCCTGTCTTGACTGTGCCAGCCCTGTGCATGGTGTCCATATGCATCCCAAGTGTGTGTCCTCAAGGCATGCTGTGCATCTTTGTCATGAGCTTGTGGGGGCAGCTATTGTCCTAGTCTGTGAAATGACCTTCACAGCAAAGTGACATTGTGACAGCGCCTTGTGATGGCCTTTCTAAAGCATCAGCGCTGTGACTGAGGAGGCATCTCTCTTAACCCCCAGGAGGAGGCTGAACAACTCTACAAAAAGTGCAAGCGCTATGACCTCCTGAACAAGCTCTACCAAGCCTCAGATCAGTGGCAGAAAGCTGTGGAGGTGGCTGAGCTCCACGACCGCGTCCACCTGCGCACCACCTACTACAACTATGCTAAGCACCTGGAGGCCAGTGCTGACTGTGGTCTGGCCCTCAATTAGTGAGTGGACTCAGGCAGGGATGGGCCCTGACTGTTCTAAACGGAAGGGTCTCACTCTTCTGTCCCAGGACGGCCCATGTGATCCTCCACAGGAGCTCTCCAGGAGCCTGGGTTCTGTGGTGGTGGGACAGGGTGTCTGACCTTCTGTATGTCAGTCAGTGTGGTACATACCAGACTTGGGGACCCCTGAGGAAAAATGTGCCACGGAGATAGAGCCACAGGGAAACCCATTCCGAAGCTGGGGTGAGCTGTGCTTAGAGTCATGTCCATGATCTGAACTTGTCATGATAAGCTCTGAGGTATGGCTAACACTCTGGTCCATATAGCACAAAACAGTGCACAGACCCCAGCGCCTCAGGCCAGGTGTACTGCTCTCAGGCTGCTCCCTGCGCTCTATGATGTAGCCCCTGATCCTGAAGCAAAATGGAACGGCTCCTTCTTCCACAGCTATGAGAAGTCAGACACCCACCGTTTTGAGGTACCAAGGATGCTCTCAGAAGACCTGCAGTCACTGGAGCTCTACATCAATAGGATGAAGGACAAGTAAGTGTCCCAATGGGACAACCCCTCCCAGTTGTGTGGGTCTGCCATGAAGTCTGGCATGGTGTTGTTCCATGTCAGAGCGGGGAGTGATCCAAGTGCAGGCCCTGGAACAGACTCCAGATCTGCCCCTTCCCGTCTCATGCATCACCTGTGGGCAGTGATGGTGCAGGGTGTCAGTTCCAGTCGGGGTGAGACCCTAAGCTCCAAGGGTTATCACACAGGACCCTGTGGAGGTGGTGGGCCCAGTACCTTGAGAGCCAGGCAGAGATGGACACTGCATTGCGCTACTACGAGCTGGCACAGGACTACTTCTCCCTGGTCCGTATTCATTGCTTCCAGGGCAACATTCAGAAGGTGAGAGTGCTTGGGGAGGTAGAGGTAGAGCACTTGCCTGCTGTGCATGGGGCCCTCAGATGGATCCACTGCATGTGCGTGTGTGTGCGTGTGTGTGTGTGTGTGTGTGTGTGTGTGTGTGTGTGTGTGTGTGCACGCAATTTTAATTTTAAGAAAGAAAGGAAGGTTAGGAGTGGAGAGATGACTCAGCAGTTAAGAGTGCTTGCTGCTTTTCCAGAGTTGAGTTCCCAGCATCCATGAGGGGCAACTCACAACCACCTGTTAACTCTAGCTCCAGAGCATATGGTGCCTTCTTCTGGCCTCCATGGGCACTGCATTTATATGCACAGACACATAAAAATTAAATATTTTTAAAGATCGGTGGGACTGGAGAGATAGCTCAGCAGTTAAGAGCACTGGCTACTCTTCCAGAGGACCTGGGTTCAATTCCTAGCACTCACATGGCAGCTCACAACTGTCTGTAACTCCAAGATCTGACACCCTCACACAGACATACATACAGGCAAAACGCCAATGCACATAAAATAAATAAGTCCTTAAGAATAAAAAATCGCAGCCGGGCAGTGGTGGCGCACGCCTTTAATCCCAGCACTCGGGAGGCAGAGCCAGGAGGATCTCTGTGAGTTCGAGGCCAGCCTGGACTACCAAGTGAGTTCCAGGAAAGGCGCAAAGCTACACAGAGAAACCCTGTCTCAAAAAACAAAACAAAAAAAATCGCATAGTGCATGCTGTGGGAGTGGACCTGTTTGAGTGGAGCGAAGCTGCTGGATGGAGGTAAGACCTGGCTGCTCTGGGTCTTTGCAGGCTGCCGATATAGCCAATGAGACTGGAGACTGGGCTGCATCCTACCACCTTGCCCGGCAGTACGAGAGCCAGGACGAGGTAAAGCAGGCAGTGCACTTCTACACACGGGCACAAGCCTTCAACAATGCCATCCGCCTGTGCAAGGTATGTGGTTCCACGTGGGCACAAGGAGGGGGTACTCTGTTGTGCCACATCCTGCACTGCTCGATCCTGGAAACCTGACTGGAGTAACAGCGGAGTGAAGAAATGACAGACACATGTCTAGAAAAGCTGGGATTGGGTGAGCTGTGCTTAATCTTAAGGAGAGCACTACTAGCAAACCAGAAACTCAGTGTGTTTAGTATATGCAGCAGAAGGAGGAGGGCTTAGTGGGTCTTGGGAAGAAGTCTCTGCAGTGGAGCAGTCTCAGGCTGTAAACATCTGGGAAGAGGGAACTGTAACACTTTCTGTACACACATCAGCATCATCACACAGACCTGAGAAAGGCTTCACCAGTTCCCCTGAGCCTGACCCAGGGAAGGTTTTGCCATTTCTTCTTTCTTTTTTTTCAACACAGGGTTTCTCTGTGTAGTTTTGATGCCTGTCCTGGATCTCGCTCTGTAGACAAGGCTGGCCTTGAACTCAGAGATCTGCCTGGCTCTGCCTCCCGAGTGCTAGGATTAAAGGTGTGCGCCACCACCGCCCGGCCAGTTTTGCCATTTCTATGGGTCTGAGGTATTGGATTCCTTAACGTAGCTAAGGCCAGTGTCAACAACACACATTCACACAGGGCTTCCTCCTCTCCCCACACTGTTGCTGTTTTCAAAGTTCTATATTGAGAGTACTTCAGCCTAGCAGTGGTGGCTCACACTTTTTTTTTTTTTTCGGAGCTGAGGACCGAACCCAGGACTTTGTGCTTGCTAGGCAAGCGTTCTACCACTGAGCTAAATCCCCAACCACAGTGGCTCACACCTTTAATCTCAGCACTTGGGAGGCTGAGGCAGGTGGATCTCTGTGAATTCGAGGCCAGCCTGGTCTACACAGCAAATTCTAGAATAGCCAGAGCTATTACACAGAGAAACCCTGTTTGAGAGGGAAAAAACACAAAGGTTCAGAGGCCTGGATTGTGAACACTGTCACCCACTGCTGGTTTCCATATTCACTTCTGGCTCTCCTGGCTCTTCTGGCCCTCCTCCCTTCCGGGCTTCCTCTGACATTGTGACACTGTCCAGTGCTCCTGAGCCAGTAGTAGGCTGACGCTTACACATAGTTAGACACCTCATCAAAAGCTGTTGGACATTTGTATGAACACCCCCTTGAGGTCTTGTTTCTGGAGTTCTCCCCACCTCGGGTGTTAACTTGCAGTGCCCTGTAAAACAGAACAGAAGGCATCTGAAAGTCCTGGTACACAGACTGACCTAGTAAGGCCTGCTGTGCCTTAAAACTCAACTGGCACTGATCCGTTGGTGATACCAGACACAGCCACATTCACAAATCTAAGTGGGTTTGGGTAGGCCAGACAGAACTACCTGCACAGCCACACCTTCCTCCCCGCAGGAGAATGGCTTAGATGACCAGCTCATGAACTTGGCCCTGTTGAGCTCCCCAGAGGACATGATCGAGGCAGCCCGGTATTACGAGGAGAAGGGCAAGCAGATGGACAGGGCTGTCATGCTGTATCACAAGGTGAGCAGTTGGCCTCCATTGGGGACCTGCAGAGACTAGAGACACCTGCCTTCGTGAAGATCCAGAAAAACTGGCTGGGTGCATTCTTGGGACCTCAAGCAGCAACTAAGTTTCACCACTGCCCATAGGCTGGACACTTCTCCAAGGCCCTGGAGTTGGCCTTCACCACCCAGCAGTTTGCAGCCCTACAGCTCATAGCAGAGGACCTGGATGAGAAGTCAGATCCTGCTCTGCTGGCCCGCTGCTCAGACTTCTGCATTGAGCACGGGCAGTTTGAAAAAGCTGTGGAACTTCTGCTGGCTGCCAAGAAGGTACAGGGATGGCGCGAGCCATGGGGTGGGCGACAGTTCGGCTATTTCTGTTTGTTACAAAGTCTTAAGAAGGCTGCGGCCGCAACTTGGCTGGGAGTCGGGTAGTCGGGGAGGTCTCAAAAGTTCACCCAGCATAGTACACCAAGACTGCTGCTGTGAGAGCAGCCTCAGCACCCAGCCCACATCTTCAGCTCTGACCAGGCAGTTGGTTCTTCCGTGTGTGTGTGTGTGTGTGTGTGTGTGTGTGTGTGTGTGTACACATGCAAGCAATGAAATCACACAACATAAATTTCCTGTATTTTGGGGGCTTGTTTTTCTAGATAGTGTCTCAAGCTGGCCTCAAAATCCTAGGCTCAAGTGACCCGGCTGCCTGAGCCTCTGAAGTAGCTAGAACCATAAGCACATGACACCATGCCCAATACAGGCTGGAGGGTTGTTGTTTTGTTTTGAAGATGGTGTCTATCTCTATATCCTAGAGATGTGGCCGTGAACTTACCATGAAGCTCAACCTGGCCTGGTACTCACATTCCTGCCTCACCTCCCAAGTACTAGGATTACAGGTGTGCACTACCACACCTGACTTTGAAGTCTTTTGTAATGAAAACGTACATTGTTGGAGCTTTTCCCACTGCAAATGTTAGTCTTCTGAGTTAATAAAAGCATGAGGGAAGATAACATGTCTGAGTCTGTCCCTTAGCTTAGTCCTTTTCATGTCCGACTCAGCCACAGGCAGTGGCCAGCATGGAGCCAGGGGCCCAGCTTCCTTGAAGGGGTGGCAGATGTGAAGGAAATCCAGGCTCTCAGCAGCTCAGCCACAGCCCTGCTTTCTCTCTCTGGCACTCTTGCAGTATCACGAGGCTCTGCAGCTGTGCCTAGAACAGAACATGACCATCACCGAGGAGATGGCGGAGAAGATGACTGTGGCCAAGGACTCCAAGGATCTGTCTGAGGAGTCGCGGCGGGAGCTGCTGGAACAGATTGCCAACTGCTGTATGCGCCAGGGCAACTATCACCTGGCCACCAAGAAGTACACGCAGGCTGGGAACAAGCTGAAGGTGAGTCTGTTTGGCCCACTGTGTCTCCGCTGGGCCATTTGTTGGGCATTTGGGCACATGCCCTGCTGCTACATGTACCGCTGAGTAGCCTGAGCAGGGGGCAGCCTTCCTAGCTAGGATGTTGAAGGCCTGGGGAGTGTGATCCATAACGGCCCTTGTAATGATGCTTCTGGTGGAGCTAGACTCACAGTATTGGGTCCCATTAGCAAACTGGAACTGCACTGTCCTGGAGTTTTTCAAGACCTAAACCTGCTCAACTGAGCCCTGGCCCTTTCTCTGCCTAGGCCATGAGAGCACTGCTAAAATCTGGAGACACAGAGAAAATTGTCTTCTTTGCGGGCGTCTCAAGACAGAAGGAAATCTATATCATGGCAGCCAATTACCTCCAGTCCTTGGACTGGCGGAAGGAGCCAGAGATCATGAAGAATATCATCAGCTTCTATACCAAAGGGCGGGCCTTAGACCTCCTGGCTGGCTTCTATGATGCCTGTGCCCAGGTACAGACCTTCTTTAGGGTTCCAGCAGGATTTCAGGGGTCCCCACAGAGCCCCTTAGGTCCTCAAGGGTCTCTTTGGTACAGGTGGAGATTGATGAATACCAGAACTATGACAAGGCTCACGGGGCACTGACTGAAGCCTATAAGTGCCTGTCCAAAGCCAAGGCCAAAAGCCCCCTGGACCAGGAGACCAAGCTAGCCCAGCTACAAAGCAAGATGACCCTAGTGAAGAGGTTCATCCAGGCCCGAAGGTATGTCCTCTAGGGGACTGGGTCAGGAGGGTAATGGAAAGCTGGCCTCGGGGAGCTTCTCATGTCCTCCAGGCCCTCTATTTGTACCCTAAGATTCTCCACTCCCCTTCAGAAGAGTTCAGGCTGACTTTCAGAGACCAGCCCAAGTTTGTGTTTCCAGCAGATATTCTTCAGGTAATATCAGCTAGATAGGATTCACTAGATAGGACTCACTGTTGCCTGTTATACCCAAGCTTCTCTCTGGGAATGCCCTCGAAATCTCAACATCATCTTGGGAAGATTATTCCACAGAAATTAAGAAAAAAGACAGGCAGGAGGAGTGAGCTCAAGTCAGTAGATATGTCTAAGGGGAGCCATGGACCCAGTCAGGGGCCATCGGAGTTATTTTTCTGTTGCTGTGAGGAGACACCATGCCATGTACATGAGGAGACCATGCCCAAAGCAACTTATAAAAGCACTTGACTGGGGGCTTGCTTATAGTTCCATAGAGGTAGTCCATGCACACTTCTGACAAGAAGGTTCTTCCTAGTTTTAACTGCCTTGTGTAAGATGGCACACCTTTCTGCATGTGCCCCGTCTAAACACCTTCTAGACACCTTCTAGGTGTTAGAGCATAGGACCTGCCACTGAAGGTGACGAGTGTATGTTAAGTAAATGGATTTATAAATGAACAAATTAAGGACTTAACATAATTCATGGAAGTCACCTTCACACACACAGATGCCATCTGGCCATTGCATAAAGCTGTTCCTACAGTACAGGTACCTATACCAGCTTCTGGCAAGCAATGAGTGTTGTGGGTCAGGCTCAAGGTTTGTCTGTCACCTTGTTAGGACATACACAGAGGACCCCAAAGAGTCTATCAGACAGTGTGAGCTGCTCCTAGAAGAGCCAGACCTGGACAGCACCATCCGTATCGGGGACGTCTATGGCTACCTGGTGGAACACCATGTACAGATGGAGGAATACCAAATGGTAAGGCCACCCAGCTTACCTCAAGTCCTAGTGCTCTAGAGCACAGCCCTGGTTGTTGGCAGAGATTATTACTATTTCCCTTGAGGTGACAAGCTCACTGTTCTAGTGTGCTTTCTATAGCTTTGATAAACACCAAAAGCAACGTAGGGCATAAAGGGTTTATTTCACCTTACAACTCCAAGGTTACAGTCTGTCACTGAGGGAAGTGAGGGCAGGAACCTGGAGATAGAACCCAAGCAGATGCCACAAAGGAACACTGTTCCCCATAGCCTGCTTTCTTAGACCACACAGGACCACCTCCCCGGGGATGGCACTACCACTCAATGGACTGGGCCCTCCTATCTCAGTCATTATTAACCAAGAGAATCCAGGGCTGGCAGGACAGAGAGTTGAGTGGTTTAGAGCACTTGTTATTCTTGTAGTGAACTCAGTTCAATTCCCATGACCCACATGATGGCTCTTCACCATCCATACGTAACTCCAGTTCCAAGGGGTCCAACAGCATCTGCCTTCCCCAGGTACTAGGCACACACACGATACACACACACAGAAGATGCCCCACAAACTCACCTACAGACCAATGTAATGGAGGCATTTTCCCAATTGAGGCTCTCTTCCAAGACGACCCCAGCTTGTGTCAAGCTGACAGAAAAATGAACCAGCACATTCACTTTGTTCATCGTTGAGAAAGTGTCTACAACAGACCCATGACTTTTTAAGATGGGGCTTGTGTAGTCCAGGCTGGCCTTGAACTATGTAACTGGTCCTAAGCCTACCTCTCCTCACCTAGTGCTGAAATCACAGTGGGCCACCATACTGTTTGTGCAGCACTGGAAACTGAACCCAGTGCTGCGCTCATGCTAGGCACCCTGCTCTACCAGCGGAGCTCCATCCCCAGCCAAGCTTCCATTTTACTACTACTACTACTGTCCTGTGTGAGTGACTGGCTCTGCCAGCTTTTGTATGACTGCTTTTCGTTGTTAGTCATCCCATGGCTGTACAGTGCACTGACTGAGTCATCTATCTCATTGTGGCCGTGACATTTTCATAGTGGCTGATGCTGAGCATCTCATTTACTTGTCATCTACTTGTCTTTTGTAGTATTCCAGACATTTCCGTCATTCTACTTGACTTTTGTCTGAGTAGGGTTTTTTTTTATTCATCTTCTATATCAAACATATGTTTCTATTCCTTTCCTTTTCTTTCCTTCCAGAATTCCAGCTGCTTACATCTATTGTCCCTCAACTCATCGTGGCCAAAATGTGCTTCATTTTATAGCTACTGTTGCTGCTCAGTTTTCCATCTCTTAAGGACTACTCTGATGTTGACCACCTAGACTTCTCACCTCAAACTTGGTCATTTTACCTCTAAGTCTGACACTGGTGTAGCTAGAGTTTTCCTGCTTGGCCCACGGTCAAGGCAAATCTCTCTCACCCGCCAGTCCAACAGCCACTCAGACCTGACCAAGTAAACACAGAGACTTATATTGGTTACAAACTGTATGGCCGTGGCAGGCTTCTTGCTAACTGTTCTTACAGCTTAAATTAATCCATTTCTATTAATCTATACCTTGCCACGTGGCTCGTGGCTTACCGGCATCTTCACATGCAGCTTGTCATGGTGGCGGCTGGCAGTGTCTCTCTCACCCAGCTTCCTGTTCTCTCAATTCTCCTCTCTGTTAGTCCCGCCTATACTTCCTGCCTGGCCACTGGCCAACCAGTGATTTATTTATTGACCAATCAGCAACACATTTGACATACAGACCATCCCACAGCACACTGGCCCAGCTCTGTCAAGATGCAAGTTCCTTCTAGACCCCGAGGCCTTCTCAACTTCATCTGCTCTTTGCTTTCCAGGGCTCCTTCTTCTTTTAATTCTGCTGCTGCTGCTGGACTTAGCTTTCTCTTTATCTTCTGCAATCCTTGGCTATGTCCTAAGCTTGTCCTTTGAACTTGTGTCCCATGTATCCACCACAGCACCTGACACAGACAGGCAATTCTAAATACCTAGGGCAGCATTTTCCCATCCCTTTGGGCTCATGTTCATTTGGCTCCTGGCCTGGGGTTTATGATTTGATGTCAAAGCCAGCCAAACATCACAATAGAGCCTTATATTTCTTATTTATGACCTTTATAGATGTAGTGTATCTGTCCAATAAAATCATTCTAAGTTTTGGCATACTTAAGAACACTGAGATCTAGACAGTTATGGTGGCACAAGTCTACAGTCCTAGCACCAGGAGGCAGAGGACAGAGATTACCACAGAATCTAGAGCAGCCTGGTGTACTAAGAGAGTTCCAGGGCAGCCAGGGCCACACAGTTAAACCCTGTCTTAAAACTCAGAAGCAGCTAGAAATAATATCTAATCATAACTGTTCATTTGAAAATGTTTAAAGCTTGGCTGTGGGTCTGGGATGAGATGGTCTCTTTATCTCTGACAAACAACTGAGGGAGTGAAGCCTTTTCTCCTCCAGCTGTGGATTCCACAGAGCACGAGATAACCGTGATGCCCACCTTTGGAGTCCACCTCTATAAACCCTTCCTTTAGCCCCCTCTGACACTACAAGCTCCCAATTTGGCTCTAAGGCTGTTGTCCTTCTGCTAGCAGTAAGAATAAATTTCATTTAATCTGAATTTAAAAAAAAATGTTTAAAGCTGCTAGTAATTTTGTTCATTGTTTGAATTAACATGCACATCTATGGGTAAGCCTTCCTTACCTCCTTTTTTGGATGAGATGCTCCCTGCAGATGAACATGTGTTTGCAGGTATAGGGAGACAGAAGTATGCTGCTCCACAGGAAGCAGGGTCTGTCCTGCCCAGCCCCCTACTCTCTAAGCCTGCCCTGTGCAAACTTAATTAATAACTAGGTTAAACCAGATACTTGATCAAAAGAAACAGTAAGCCACTAGCAGACTGACCTCAGTTCAGCCAAGCACATGCCCAGAATGGGTAAAAGATCCAGCCCTCCTTTGCCAAGTGTCCAGGGACATCCATGGCAAGCAGACTCTAGAAAAAGCGGCTCTAGAACTCACACCAAATTCTTGTGTTCTGGCTGCTAAAGGACCTTCAAGGTTTGCTGTTCATGTTAATCACAGTTCAGGCAGGGTTAGTCACTGAGAACCTGAAACATCAGATGGCTTCCCATACGACAGTCCCCTTACAAATACTAGAGAGCCCCAGGCCAGTGACTCTGAGTGTCCCTCGTAGCGAAGGAAGGCCTTGCTCTTACCTGGAGCAAGGATGCTTTCCTTGGCCGAGGGTGGGCAGCTGAGACCTGACGTTTAAGAAACCTTATTACCATGAATGAATGATATGGCAGCCTTGTTTTCACGTGAACTAAAGAAGTAACTGGTGGTCACATCTGTCAGGCCTTCAGGTCACCACTGTTCCTTCTGTTCTAGGCCTATAAGTATCTTGAGGAGATGAGGAAAAGACTTCCTTCAGCCAACATATCTTACTATGTGGACCAGAGCACTGTGGACACTGTGCACCAGGGCCTGGGTCTCCCACCGTCTCGCATCATGCCTGAGCGCGTCCACCACAACAGCATGGAGGACCACAAGGATGTGTATGAAGAGGTGCTGGAAGAGGTGGAAAATGAACCCTGAAAGCCCTGGGTCCCAGCTGCTGGAATGTGGCTTCTGGAATTTTCTAGTCGAGTCATTGGAAAGGCAGCTTTTTGTTTTTTTGTTTGTTTGTTATTGTTTTGAAATTCTGCACTGTTATGTGTAAGCAGGGCAGGGGACTTGGAGTCCAGCACAGCAGCCCAGGAGGAGGTGCAGTTCTGGTTTGCCCCGGTTCTGTTCTTAGAAGGAGGCTTGCGTTTGTGTGGGGTCATTCCTGCACCATTCCCGCCTCCAGGCGCTTGGCGGCTCAGTAGGTTGGGTTTACTTCCTTTGGAGGGAGTTAGCTTCATTTTTCTCATGTTCTCCCAGCAGTAGACTCAGAAACTTCTAGAACTTTGTGCTTGGGGCTACCTGTTACTGTTAACCATGCCTGTAGTTGGCTACTTGATAGTCCCCAGCCGAGCCCAGTGCTCCTGGGACCACAGCAAGGACCACCTGGGGCAGGCCTGAGCCACGAACACTGTGCCCTTTGTCACCAGAGCTGGGATTGGGATACCAGGCACCATCCATGGCTGCTCACACTCCTATGACTCCAAATAAAGCCCATTTTCTCAGAGTCTGTTCTCTCAAATGCCTGTACTCCTTGCTGCCCCTCATGAGGACCCATGTAGGAACTAAAGTTCTTGCCAGTGGGAACCACAAAAGCAGACTCTGTGACATCTACAGCCCTATTTATTCTCACAGGAACACTGTCAAGAAGCCCCTGGGGACCCAGCAGGCTACCCCTGGTCTCTGTTCTAGCATCCCCATTGGGGTACACTAGAAGCTGAATCTTTTTATTTTCGCTCTTGAGACCCTGGCCAGAGCCCAAAGTTCTGCTCTCAGGAGGAGGCACCTCTTGGCCCTCACACCCCCAGTCCAAATTCTGGTCAGTCCAAGGCTGTTGAGTCCCATGGCACATGCTCAGGTACCTTTAGCTGAACGCTCAGCCTTGCCAGGGCATAACTAACGGCAGGGTAGGTCAGACTGGTAGGAGCTTACTTTATGCACACTGGGACCAACCGGCCCCTCGAGGCCTGATTGCCACGTAAAGCTCAGGTGTGGACCCGCTCCTCAGAGGCCTTCCCTTCTGTGGGGACAGCCGAGGGTCTATTTGGGCCCCTGTGGAGTCCTCGGGGCTATGGGGAGGAAATGGACAGGAGCTTATCTTTGAGTCGCTCCAGAAGCAGCAGCGCCCTCACCGCCAGCTCCCTGCAGTCCGCATCCACATCCTTCTCAGCCACATCTGCCAAGGGAGAAGGAGAGAACAAGTGAGCAACATGTTCTCCTCCTGCACTGTCTTCTCAAGGAGACTCCTGCCAGGCTTCTCCTGAGGGCCCACGTCGGACACCCAGCAAAGGGCCCTCGAGCTCCCCGAGGGCAGGTGATGGGGAATAGCTCCATGGAAGGAGCAGACAGGTCAGCTACTTAGTCAGGAGTCCAAGCACTGACCTGCGATAAAACCAGTCAGAGAAGACAACCTGTGGAACTCCAGCACATGACCCGGAGGAGAACCTGGCCTTGCCCAAGATGGCTGACAATGGGACCTTCTGTGACTAACCATCAGAAACAGCAAAGCAGTAGAAGACATACAGGACCCCTGCCTGGCCAGGAGTCCTGTGGAAGCCACAGTTGGATGCTGTATCAGGGCCAGTCACAAAGCCTCCTAGGAAGCTGGGGCTCTGGCATGTTCTCCCCAGTGGGACCCAGGACAGTCCTGGGGGCCTGTCAAAAGGTCCAGTTGAAGAGTGGGGTGAAGAGTCAGAATCCACAGCTGACTTTTTAGGAGAGTATGTAGAGAGGATAGAGACAAAGGGTGACAGATACTTCAGGGTGGTTCTAGATGGAAGTTTCCAGCATTCACTCCACTTCCACATAACCTGTCTGGATTTGAAATCTTTTTTTAAAAACAGGTCTCAGTAGGTAGCCCTGGCTGGACTAGTACTCACTGTGTAGACCAGGCTAGCCCTGAACTCAAGAGAGCTCCCCCTGCCTCTGCTTCCCAAGCGCTTGCACTATTATGTCTGGCTTTGGATCTGGGAGCCTTCAGAAGGAACAGACTCCCATCTGAACTGTCTCTGTTGGGACCCTTGTAGTAGTCCCCAGAGTGACCCGGATAAAGATGATCCCCACACTCATGTCATCACACTTCCCAGAGCTAACACAGGACAGACGCACCCACTCAGACTGGCTGGCCTAGCCCCATCTGCTCCAACCACTCCACACACCTGGTGACACTGTTCCAGCCAGACACTCACCTGCCAACCAGGATCTGGCTTCTAGCAGCTCATCTGGCAGGTCCCCCAAGAGCCGCTCTGTGGGTACACTGAGGAGGACTGAGGAGACAGCAGACAGCAGGCCCCGGCGAACGTAACTACCAATCAACAGGGTGGGGGAAGGGGAAATAGGACACTGTGAAGGGCGCCTCCAACGAGCCCATGGGAAGGCCCTCCCACGTGTACAGAGTCCAGCAGGCCAACCTGCAGCAAGCTCACTCCAGCCCTCTCTGAGCCCCCTCAGGCCTGATTGGCCCCTTCTTGTTAGGAAACGTTAGGCATGCAGCCTTGGAGACCCTGCGCTTCCCTTAGCCGCATGGGCCACTCACGTGTCAACATGGAAGCGAAGGGCCCACACGAACTCGAGCAGGGCCTTACCCATAGGCACAGCCACCTGGAAGTCAGAGGAGGGACAGCTGGTGAGGGGATCTGCTGTGTGCCTTCGCCACGCTTGCACAAAGGTAGGGTCCCACTGTCAGTGCCTGCCCCTGAGGAGGGCATAGGGCATACAAGAAATGTCTTGTGGAGCTTGGCACAGACCTGCCCGTAGGGACAAAGGGAGGGGCGGATGTATTCTGAAGGTACACTGCTCATGCCTAGGACCTTGACCATCCTGTACTCTCACAGGTGGAGAAGAACAAGCCACAAAGAGCTCAGGTCCTGTCCTGTGAACACTGGTGATTGATTATTCCTGCAGCCGCGCTGCGGTGAAGCTACGTGGTAGGGCTTTCAGTTCCCATTTCCCAACTCACTGTGGTGTTAACAGCCAGGTACATCAGGGACGCTAAGGTGTGGGCCAGTCTTCCAAGTACCAACTGATCATCTCCTAAAAGGTCGAAGGTCACCAGAGGCCTACAACATAGAGCTGAGTGGATGGAGCAGCCCCAGCACCTAATGGTTGCCTGACAAGAGCCCAGAAGGAGGGCTCCTGACAGAAACCCAAACCTTGAAGGCTCACACAGCCTTCCTCCCACCGTCACACCCTGGGCCAGTGTGGCAAAGGGCAGCCACAAGGGGAAAGCATTTCCAAACGCCTGAGCATACTGTATGCTGCCAGGCACACACCAGGCCCGGAGTCAGGGTCACACCCTATGCCGTCACCAACGTCTCACAGGCTGAGCAGCAGGCCAGGCGACACTGGTGGCGGCACCAGCACCTTCATAAACCCAGGATCAACGAAGAGTCAGTGACTATGCCCTCACCACAAAACTCAACAGCAAGGGCCCTTCCAGGATGTTCCCTATCATTTAACTCAAGCTTATACGGACCCAGCCCACACTTGAACCTGTTGTGTCACAGCCGCTGTCCACAGGGGTGTGTCTAAAGTTCTAGAAACCTCACCTGTCAAAGTGCTGAAGGAGTGGGAAGAAGAAGCAGCCAGCCACGGAGTTGAATTCATTGGGGCCACCTGACAGCTCCCTCCGAGGACAGCCCTGCCAACACACAGCATTAGTCGAGGCGCAAGGCTACTCCCCGCCCAGTGCAGCTCTGCAGCCCCCTGAGGCTTGCCCTGGCCTCCCCAGGTTTCAGGACCCTGTGGGGAGGGCAGAGTCCGACTTGGGCTACTGTGGTCTGACTGCAGAGTCCCAACCCTGTACATTAACCATCCAGAGCTGTAATCCTCACCATGGGAAGACCTGGGCATTGTGGCAAGCTAAATAGCCTGGTCTCCAGCCCCAAGCTATCTCCAGACATCACCATAGTCCCAGGGTCATTTTTCGTTTGTTTCTGAGTGGCACTCCTAAGAGCTTTTCACTTCCATGTTTTAAAATCATGCTGGTCTAGCCCGGCAGTAGTGGCGTACGCCTTTAATCCCAGCACTCGGGAGGCAGAGGCAGGCCGATCTCTGTGAGTTCAAGGCCAGCCTGGGCTACCAAGTGAGTTCCAGAACAGGCTCCAAAGCTGGAACACAGAGAAACCCTCTCTCAAAAAAACAAAAAACAAAAACAAACCATGCTGGTCTGATGACATGCCTCAGTTTGTCCTTAAACTCTTGCTCAAAGGAGCACCAACACTGAGCTGACCCTGCCTGTGACTGGGTTCCCTTCATTTAGACAACACCTAGAGGAACCCAACTTCCCACCCTGCCACTCACAAAACAAAAGCCCATGCCTACAAGGACCTGAACAGAGTCCTGCTGACCTTGGAGAACCTCCGGGTCTTGCTTTTGATCCGCTCCTCCACAACCACCTGCCAGTCAGGGACCACAGCGTTGCCAGGCTGAGAAATGGCTAGTGCTGGTGAACACAAGATGCCAGACCCAGGGGGACTGTGCTGGGGAGGCCTCTGGAGGCTCCGTGGCCGAGACAGTGCCTGAGCAGCCAGGACAAGGACCTAGAGGAGAGAAAAGACTCAGTACACAGGGACCAGAGAGATGGCAGAGAGGTTTGGAGCACTCACTGCCCTTGCTAAGCACTCGGGTGTAGTTCCCGACACCCACACATCCTTTTCTGCCTCCCACAGACAGCACACACATGGCGTGCTAACATACATGCAAACAAAACACTCGTAAAATAAAAACTGAATGTTTTCAAGAGACCCAGGACAGTGTGTGACTCTGGGAAAGGATGCGCTCATGTTAAAGGAGCCCATCCTTTAACTCCCTCATCCCAAGGACTCAGAATCTGCACTTCCTGCAGGGGGCAGGCACAGAGCTGACATGAGTGCTCCCTCACAATGAATACCTGGACCAATGTACCATACTTTTCCTAAAACTCACAAAATTTCACCCCTGACCTTGCTCCCTCCCCCAAGGAACTTCCAACAGCAGCATATCCAGCAACAGAAGCTGCCACGAAAGGCCACGCAGCTCCCTGTTCTGTTTCTATGAAGCATCCAGAATAGGTAAATCCAGACAGAGCAGAATGGCAGAGGAAAGGGGCTGGAAAGGGGTTGTTAATGCGATGGTGCAGGGTAACGGTGATGGAGCACAGCTGGATTAGAGACACGAGCCACCTTTGCCAGGCCCAGTGACCCAGGCCTATAGTCCTAGCTTCCCAGGAAGCCAAGGCAGAAAGATCACAAGTTCAAGGCCAGCCTGGGCAACTTAGGAATTCCCTGTTTCAAAATAGAAGGCAAAAAGAAGGCCTGGGAGCCAGAGGGATGGCACAGCTGTTAAGAGTACTTATTGCTCTCACAGAAGACCTAGGTTCTGTTCTCAGCACCAAAGTAACAGCTTGTAACTGTCGGTGACTCTGGTTCAAGAAGATCCAATGACTCTTCTGACCTCCATGGGCTCCTGCATGCACATGGTCACATATATACACTCAAGCACACATATATGCACAAAATAATTTTTTTTTCTTAAAAGGGAATGGGAGAGGCTGGGTGTAGTTGTGCATATTTTTAATCCCAGCAGCTGGGAGGAAGAGGCAAGTTGAACTCTATGAGTTCAAGGCCAACCAGGGCTATACAGTGAGACTCTATCATTAGAAAAAAAGAGAGAGAGAGTGAGTTCAGAGACAGACAGCTTATCTAGCATGTATGACCCCCAAGACCACAAAAATCGTGTTTCCTGTTTTATTTATTGTGGTAAAGAGATACTTTGTATCACTTTCTCTAGTCTTGTGAGTATGTGGGTCCAGATGCATATATACCTCAGGGATGAAGGCCAGAGGTTGATATTGTGTGTCTTGTTCAATTGTTCTCCACCTTTATTGTGAGGTAGAGTCCCTCACTGAACCCAGGGCTTACCAACTCAGCTGCTGGCAAGCAGGCTCCAGGGTCCCCCTTTCTCTGCCACCCTAGTGCCGGGGTACGGACACGTCACATGCCACATGTTATGAGTGCTGGGTTTCCAAACTCGGGCCCTCAATGTTTGTTCAGCAAGCAGTTTATGGACTGAGTCATCACAACCTTCATCGTACCCACTCTTAGGAGTTCAGTAGTTGCCAGGTGTTATGGCACAGGAGACAGAGGTCGGAGGCTCTGAGTTCCAGGCCAGCCAGAGCTACCCAGTGAGAAGCTTGAGGTAAGTTGCACTGGGCACTCTCACTACCATCCAGCTCCAGAGTGTTCCATCTCCTAAAGAAAACTGTCCAGGTTAAACCCCAGTCCCTGGGGCCGTGGCGACCACCCCTCGGCTTATCTCTGTGAATGCACCAGTCTAGAGGGTTTACCGCCTATGGCCTTGCCACACGCAGTCCTTTGCAATTGGCGTTTACACAGTATTTTCACACAAGGGCTGTCTGTGCTGTGGCAGGTGTCAGCACGACTGGGGTTTAGAGGTGGATCACACTCAACCACAGGGAGACACATTTGGTTTCTCCCACAATGATAAATTTTATGTTGTATAAAAACATACCAATATAATCGTTATCCAAAATACACAAACGAGGCTGGCTGCTAAGAGTTAGTGGTCCAGACTGCTGATGCTCTCGTAGAGGACACACGTATTTTGTGCACATGAATACAAAGACAAAACACACAAACGGGGCCAACAAGATGACTCAGAAGGTCAGAATACACACACACACACACACACACACACACACACACACACACACACACACACACACACACATACACAAATAATAATAATAATAATAAAAATAAAACTTTTTTAAAGCCACACAAAAGAAAGCCCTCTGCCACCGGCTCTTAGCCCCACACTGGTGAACCTGTGGTGAGCAGACAGAAATGCTTCAGCCCCTAACATCCCCACCAAGGAAGCTTGGGGTGATCTTTGTCCAAGACCATACAGGTCAACTTCCCAGCCTGCCTGACAGGGACAGGGGTCTAGGTCACTTACATCCAGGATGTCCATGCGCTGCCGGAGGCTGTAGTTCAGGCCATAGAACTGTGAGGTCAGATACTTGGCTACCTAAGGAGGCAAAGGGAAGCCATGCTGCTAAGGCGCCAAGATTACTCAAGGGCCCAATCTGGGCACAGACTGGGGCCACCAGGGCAACTTGTGACATGCCTGGTCTGGCTAGTGTCATGCTAGGACTTACCTGCTCCGGGTGTGTGACTGTGACAGCCACCAGAGCTCTCCTACGCAGTTGTTCAAAGTCCGCCACGCAGGTCTTCTCTTCCAGGTGCAGTAGCACCTTGGCCAGCTCCACACTCACCTGCACAGGGCCAGGAGGCAGGATGCCTTCAGTCCCACATGCCCAATTAGCAATCCAGTGCCACCCTCAAAGATCTAAGATACAGATGCCCCAAGGAGACCTGCCACTCCAGGATGTCCCAACCTCCCTCCCATTCCTCACTCCCCATCCCCCACACCCACCCTGCTGACCCTGACACATCCTCTTACTACTGCTCACCTCCCGAGTGGCCTCAGGGCTCCTATAAACCATGCCCTCAAGCACCTTTAGGGCTGCCTCCCAGCGCTCCATGTCCTCAGATGTGGTCAAGGCTGCACAGAACCCAGACAAGCCTTGGTTAAGTCTGAGCACTGACCCTAACTCCAGTGTGCCCAGAGTATGAAAATGAGACTTGGCAGGTCGCTCTAGGACAAGGTGAGGTGGGGCCAGGCCCAGGTATCTCTCAAAACAAGCCATTGTGGGGTAAACACAGTGACCCCAGGAAAGCCTACCTTCTATGCAGTCTCGGATATACAAGGGTTCCTTGCTGGTCTTCAGCTCTTTGTCCCCTGACATATCATAGGGGATGAACTCATCATCACTGTAATAAGAAAAAAAGACACGGGATCTGTCTATCCCCAGTGAGGACTAAGGTGCCCCTTTATTTTTGACTCCTCAAGGGTAAGACCCTGAAGATACTAAAATTCCCTTCCAAGAGCTGGACCTGTGGGAGCATGGGAAGAGCAGCGGGACACTACCCAGGCTCATACTTCAGACCAGCAGGAAGGTGATGCGAGTACTGGATGTCCACACCTATGCAAGAACACCTTCCTACATGTGGTCAGCTCCCCCAACACGTGAACAGAACGCCACTGTCAGCCAATCCTTGGACCCACAGAGGCCAAGGAGCCCTGCCCTACCTGTCCAGCTCTGAGTCAGAGCCCTGCGGCTGAGCTGGGGGGACATCACTGCCCATTGTCTTTTCAGGTGTCTCAACAGGAGTCTCTGTGGCAACCGGAGCCAGGGAAGGGCCTCTAGGAAACAAGAAACAGCAAGGGTCACCCAGGTTAGCCTTGCACACCACATATCCCAGAGAGGCTTCTATTATCTGCCCATGTCTCCCCTAACTTTTGTCAGAAGGACTCAGGATGGGGACTGGGAACGTGAAGACCCTCACCCGTTCTCCGAGGAGCAGGCATCCACAGACCAGGGGGTGGCCAAGGCCAGCATCTCACGGCTCATCTCATCATCTTCATACTATTGCAGACACGTTGGAGTCAGCGATGCCCTCAAGCTGCAGATGCCACCTCACCACAGACAGCCAGCCAGAGCCAGCCCTCCTCACATACCACTTGATCTCATTTAGCAGTCTGGCCTCAGCTAGCCAGTCATCTTTTCTAAGCAACTTCTGAATGTCCACCTCAAGCTCAGCATGATGCTAGGTATGCTCAGCCTAGAAGACTCTTCCTCCTTTGGATTTGGAGACCCTTGACTGCTGACATACCCAAGAACAGGGCTCAGCAGAAGCTACATCCATAGCCTCGCAGTTAAGCCATGCAGGGCCCAACCCCGTCAAGGCCCATCCTGTCCAACCTGGTAGTGCCCATGCCAATCAGTGGCCAATAGAGAATGACACCCTTATGCACTACCAGCCCAGAGCAGCCCTACTGTCCACAGGGCTCAGAGCACCCAGGTCCAGCAGACCAACCCCAAGGCAATGGCTCCTTCGCTCCCGTCTAACCAAGCCAGGGAAGACAGCTTGGGGGGTACATACTCACAGGCTTGGCCCCGAACATACAGACCCATTCCTGCTACCAACCACAGGAGCTGGAGTCAGTTAGAACTGCCCCGCACACTGAGCCTTGGCCCTCCACGTGCCCACCATGGGATACTCCTCAATCCTAGACCCCAGAGAAGTGAGGAACTGGCAGTGCAGTCTATCACCAAGGGAGACCCAGAGCCCTGTCACTTAAGGACATAGAAAGACAGCCTGCTCACTTGGAATTTCAGGGGAGGCCCCTCGGGGTGGATCCTGGAGCTGACGACCTCGGCCACGATCATGCCCAAGCGACGCACGGGGGGCAGGCTGCTGTCCAGGCGGCACTTCACGCCTGCCATCATGCTGGCCAGCAAGTCTTAAAGCACCAGACACGAATCGTGAAGGGCTCCTCAGCGCATTAGGGGTGGGGTGTGCCCATGCCACAGCCCGCTTACCATCCCGGATGCCCTGCAGCTCCGGCTCCCCCAGGTGTGCCAGGCAGACCAGGATGGCCTTGCTGATGTAGCACTGCTGCTCCAGGGGTGCGTGACGGACAGCACTGCTGTTGCCCCACGTCTCCAAGAGCTCCTTCAGCACCTGGCAAACAGCAGAGCCTCAGCCTGTTCAGGCCGCAGCTACCCCACAGCCACCTCAGTCTCAGGCCAGAGCCCACAACGCGCCCAAGGGGCTCGAGCGTAAGTGAAGCTGGACCCCCGTCCTTCCCGTCAGGAGACAGTCCCTCTACCGCCCTTCTCCCGGGACTGCCACAGGCTTAGAGCGTCAAGCGGTGATTACCTGTATGAGGAGTGGCCGCCGCTGACTGTCCATAGCCAGGTACCCCAGCAGGCTCTGCAGCATGGATGTCTACAACAGAAGGGGGTCCTGTCTACCAGGCAGGGACTGCTCCCTGCCTGCCCCTACCAGGGCCTTCAGAAGCTGAGGAAGAGGAATGGGAGAGGACGGATCTGCCAAGCTCCAGCCTCCCACAAAACCAGAGCGCCAGCCAGCTTCCCGCCCCAGCCAACTACCTCAGCACCACGAGTTTCAGCTGATACTTTTTCTGTCTGCCATTTCAACCACACTTTGAAAACTCAGTAAGTTATCTGCCAAGTTTCAGACTTTCTGGCCCTTGTGGTAGAGGACACCTGCGATGCTGGTTTCCCCGCCCAGATGCACATCAGCAAACGTTGCTCCCCGCTGCGACTCTGGGCTCCGTCCTTTGCGTAAGGCTTCTGAACTTCCCAGAGTCTATCTTATGTTATGTGTGTGTGAGTGTGCGCATGTGCGTGTGTGAGTGTGCCCATGTGTGTGTGTGAGTGTGCGCATGTGCGGCAGAGTCCAGAAGCGTGCCAGGTCCCGTAGAGCTAGAGGTCCATGCATCTGTGAGCTTTCCTGTGTGGGTCCCGGGAACTAAGCCAGGGTCCTCCACAGGAACAGTAAGGACTCCTAACCACTGAGGCGTCCCTCCAGCCCTTTTGTCAATGTTTTCTTCAGACAAGGTCTCACTGTGTAGGCCACGCAGGTTCAAACACACGGCAATCCTGCCGACGCTGCTTTCACGCTAGAATGAGACGCACGAGCCGCCATCTCCACCCTCCACTCGTGTGTCCTTTACCTTCCTTATTCCGTGTTCGGGGCAGTGATTCTCCCTGTCACCCTTCCTGCTTTCATGGTCAGCTCCCCAGGTCTGTTTCACCATGCTTTTCTTGTCTTAGGCTTCTTGAGTAATGTATGTATGTACTTCTTGAGTAGTGTATGGTACATTACTAAGCTATTCCATTTTGTGTGTGTCCGTGCACACATGTGTGTAGGGGTGTATGTATGAAGAAGTATGTAGGCTGTCCATGTGTGCAGTCACATGCATGTATGTGAAGACCAGAGGTCAACCTCAGGCATCATTCCTTAGGAGCCATCCAATTTGTTTTTGGATACAAGGTCTCTCTGCTATGTAGCCTGGCTGTCCTGGAACTTAGCCATCCACCTGCCTCTGCCTCCCAAGCTCAGGCGTGAGGTAAATTGAATGAGAATGGCCCCAATATGCTCATATTTTAATATGCGGTCTCCAGTTGGTAGATCTGTCTGGGAAGGGTTAGGAGGTGTGGCCTTGTTGGAAGAAGTGTGTCACTAGGGACACAGGATTTGCAGTTTCTTTTTTTTTGGGGGGGGATGGTTTCGAGACAGGGTTTCTCTGTGTAGCTTTGGAGCCTGTCCTGGAACTCACTCTGTAGCCCAGGCTGGCCTCAAGCTCACAACGATCCGCCTGCCTCTGCCTCCCGAGTGCTGGGACTAAAGGCGTGCGCCACCACCGCCCGGCGGATTTGCAGTTTCTAAAGACTCCACTCCCAATGTCCCTCCCCCTCTCTCTGCCTCCTATTTTCAGATCAAGATGTGAACTCTCAGCCGTTCCTGCCATTATGCCTTAGCTCTGCCATCATGGACTCTAATTAACCTCTGGAATCATTAGCCCAATTAAATGCTTCCTTCTATACGTTGCCCTGGTCATGGTGTCTTACCATAGCAACAGAAAAGTAACTAAGACAGCTGGGATGTGGCATGTGCCACCTTTGGGATTACCAGCTTTGAGGTGGGGTCTCAGTGGGACCCGAGAGTCACCAATTTAGCTAGGCTGGCTAGCCAGTGAGCACCACAGATCCACCTGTCTCTGCCTCTCCAGCCCTGGGATGATAGTCACACACCACCATACCCAGCTTTCCCTGCAGATTCTGGGGGCTCAAACTCAGATCCTCTTGCTTGTGTGTCAAGGACTGTGTGACCTAGTCACCTCCCTAGTCCCATCAGTTCCCCTTGTTCACAACTCTAAGTCCGCAGCCTTGTTGTGCCAGAGTGACTACATGAAGTTCGCTCTGGCAGCTGCAGTTCTAGGTCTGTGGCACCATCCCATGACTGGCTTATGATCTGATGGCTTAGAACAGAGCATTGGATTCAGGAGTAGACAGCCTGAATGCTCTTTCATCAGAGATCGGTGGGGACCATCTCTGCCTCTGTTTACCTAGAACCCCATCGTCCACCCGCCCTTTTAGAGGATGGCTTACGTGTTAAAGTGGCTCCACCCCTTCACGTGTACACTGCAGCGGTACCTGGCTGACAACTCATGTTACTGGGAAGACTCTCCAGGGCTCCTGAACGAGCTTCCCTGCATGTAGCAGGTGGGAGACACTTCAGTTTCACCCTGGTTCCTCACATTTTGGTGCTTTGCACAGGAGCCAGAGAGTCCAACCGGCTCATCTCTGCTCAGCTGGCCTTAGCAGGCCATTCAGCCTGGCCCTACCTACTGTTCTCTTGCTCTCTGTCCACCAGGGGGACCCACAACCAGCTCAGGCTTTCTGGACAGCCAATCAGCTAGCTCACTGGCATTCCAGGTCTCAGAGGCCTCCGGTCCACCGGTCACCCCAGACAAATCCTTAGGGCTAGGCCTCCTCCTCCAAGCCAGCCTCCTGGCCTGCCTGCCCCTTGGTCTCAATACCTGCCATGTCACCCTATGTATTAGGTGGCCTACATGGGCAACATCTGCTTCCTTTCCTGTAACATGAACTTACGATGAGGAGGGACGGGGCTCTTCTGTCCACAGAGGATGCTCAGTGCCCAAGATAGAGCCTGATTTCAAAGGAACACTGTGAATGAAAAGGTGAGCAGGACACAGTGGGTCCCCCTCACTCTTCCCTGTCCCCTGCTGCTGTCCACTTAACTCTGGTTGTGTCCTGTTCCTCATTCTCCCTGGCTTTGACCTACTGGCCAGCTCTGAGCCAGAGCTCCAGGGCACGTGGACAGTGGCAGTCACGTATGAGGCACACAGCCTCTGGAGTCTGATGCACCAACCCCTCATACATAGAATGGAGGTGGTGAGGGTACCTTCCTAGGTGGTACGGGGATCCGGAGATACGTGACATGCTCACTCAGTGCCCAGGATGCTGCAGAGATCATAAATGGTCAGAGGGGCCTACCTACCACTTGGCTGACATTTCCTAGGCAACTGCCGTCTAACTACACTCTTATGTTGTGTTGGTTTTCCCCTGTGGTGACAAGGATAGAACAGCACCCTGTACGCCCCAGCACACACCGCTCTTTATTCTCTCCTTCTTCTTCTGTTTTAGGGTCATTGAGACAGGGTCAGGCTGGCCTCAAACGTGTGTGTAGCTGGAGATGGTAATGACCTCCTGATGTTCCTGTCTCCAAATACTGAGATGACAGGAGTATGCCACTATGCCTAGACCCTTACTCTTCTTTTTTTTTTTGAGACAAGATCTCACTATGTAGACCAGGCTGATCTTGAACTCAGAGACTCAACTGCCCCACCTCTGGAGTACTAACATGGTGTGCCATGCACCCAGTTCCCCTACTCCACTTCTAATAACAACTCTTCCTGTGACTTGCAAAGCCTGCAGGCGCCACCCTGCCCGGGCACTCTCACCGTGTGCTGGTACTGCAGGAACAGGAGCTTCCGGGTCATCACAAACTGTGCTTTCTTACTCTTCACCACCACGTTCCCTAGGAGTCGCGACACGACTTCAGGCCTGTGAGGCAGGTGTGGAAGGAGTCGAGTCACAAGTCGGCCTCAAAGGGAAGGAACAAGGAAAAGCCAACAGTATGGTGCCCTGTGTCCAGCCACCTGCTCACTCCGTGAGTTTGGCCAAGCCTTTCCATGACCTGAGTTGGTCCTTAATCTTTCCTCTTCCCAGAATGAATCTGAATACCCATGGAAAGCCTGGGATCCACATCAGAGCCAAGAAGACCACCCCAAGATGGGGGGCCTTCCTTGCTCTGCCAAGGATGAGTGCCTCTCTAAGACAGGGCAGCAGACGTTTGCTGTTAAGGGCCAGAAAGCACACTCTTAGACAGGTCTACTCTCCATAGCAGCCACTCAACTCTGGTAGTAGCTGAAAACAGCCATAGACAAATGTTTAAATGAATGGGCATGGCAATCTGCCAATAAAATTTATTTGCAAAAAACCACCAGCATGACTTGGCCCAAAACAACAATTTGCAGAACCCCAAGCTAGATTACTTCCTTCAGAAAGTAAGATTGTGGCCAGCTGCCTCAGCCACACAGATCTACATCAGGGCTTCCTCCTCACTCATCACTTTTGATTACATGTATTTATGTGTGTGTGTCTGTGTGTGTGTCTGTATGTGTGTGTATGTCTACGTGTGTGTGCGCATCTGTGTGTCTATGTATTTGTATGCATATGCATGCCGTATCATGCATACCATGGAAGTCAAGCGAACAACTTGGAAGACTGATTCTCTCCTACCATGTGGGTCCTGGGGATGAAACTCAGATGTCAACCTTGATAGCAAGTGACTTTACGTGCTGAGCCATCTCACCAGCCCTTGTTACATCAAATCCCCCACAAAGGCCAACGTGGTAGCACACACTTTCAATCCCAGAACTTGTTAGGCAGAGACAGGCAGATCTCTGACTTTGAGGCCAGTCTGGTCTACATAGCAAATTCAGGCCAGACAGGACTACATAGTGAGATTCTGTTTTAAAGAAAGAAAAACAAGTCCATACAAAGTCATAAAGGCTAGGGCTGTGAATATGGTTCCACAGGTAAAATGCCTGCTGGACAGCATGAGGACCTGAGTTTGGTCAACAGAACCGCTAGAAAAAGCCAGGCATGGTCGTACATACTTGGATCCGCAGAACCAGAAAGGATCCCTGGGGCTTGCTGGCCAGCCAGCCCAGGTTCAGTGACAGACTCTGTGTCAAAAACAAGGTAGACAGCTCTTGAGGGTCAACACCTGAGGCTGACCCCTGGTTTCCATGTGCATGGGCACACATATCTGCACATGCATGCATTAGCATGCACACACAAACACTTTTAATTAAAAATTTAAAGAGACATAAAGGCTTGAAAAGAAGGAGGGGACCCCTAAAATCTAAGAAAGCAAATCAATGTAAACTGACATATGGCGGGGTTGGGGATTTAGCTCAGTGGTAGAGCGCTTGCCTAGCAAGCGCAAGACCCTGGGTTCGGTCCTCAGCTCTGAAAAAAACAAAAAAACTGACATATGGCTTTAGCACAGCCCACCTGACAGACAAGATTCAGAACCTAAAGTGAACCTGGAATTCATGGGCCATACCTGCAATCCCAACACTGGTGGCTAAGACAGAGAGATCAAAAGTTCAAGTCCATCTTCAACTACATAGCATGTTTGAGGCCAACTCCAAACAAAACAAACAGGAAACCCACAGAACGCTAGGTGTGCCCTGCTGAGGGCCCAGTGGACCTCACAAGAGAGAGCCCAGAACTTTCGGGGACAGCTATCACAAACACACTAGGAGCCCACCATGAACAAGCAAGGGATATCAGTAAACAATTCACACCTGAATCTACAACCAAAGAACACAAAGTCAACACTGAGTGCTGCGTAGTGCAGAGACAGACACTGGAAGCTAGGTGAGCTAGCAATGTGCTCAGCATCCAGCCAGCCAACAGGCCTGCTTCCAGCAACAAGACCCATAGATGTACCTCCACAAACACAGAGATGAGTAAACAGAAGGAAGGGACCTGGACTCTGTCCGAGACAAAGCCAACACAGTTCAGTGGGCACTCACAGGGGTCGGAGAGTCCCCACCACCAAGAAGCAGCGGATCAATGCATGAGCCATGAGACCACGGTGGAAAATGTATGACAGGCACAACCAATGGCCAGCCTGAAAGTGCAATGCTGAGAGAGGGGGGCCCCCCAAACTGTACAGAACATGGGCTCTCGTACGGCACCCAGGAGAGCGGCATGGGAACGGCAGCCATGGGAGAGTTTCCATCCTGCCATCCGGGAGAGGACCTGGCTGCTTACCTGTGAGTGGCCTCTACAAGTCCTGTCAGCACAGCCTCCACTGCCCGGTCAGGCACTTGCTCCACTAGGCGCCAGCACACCCGCTGCCACAGACAGCTATCCTGGGTGAGCACTGTCAGCTGGGGCACCAGCACGCCCAGGATCTCTTCTGAGGGGACACAGAGACCCTAAGCTTCAGGAGCCACCCTCAGCCAGCGGCCAACGGCTCACAGGCATGGGCAAGCCCAGAGACAATATTAGCCGACCCAGGGTCAGACCCAAGTGAGGGAACCCCACTGAGGGCAAGGGTCAACTCGCATGTCACGGGATGTGTACATCCTGTTCATGATTCTCACCCTCCTCCAAGGGTGGGGGAGGATGTCAGGGAGTACTCACTCTTTCTTCCCTGGATGCAGACCTTCCCCAAGACTCGAGACACGAAGGAGACAGAGCAGTCTAGGCCATCTGGAATGAAAACCAAGGTCTGACTGCAAAGGAGGTCAGCAGGAAAAACATTAAGGACATCTGACTAAGGCTCGAGACCTTGTGCTTAGCAGCCAGGTCAGTCATGGAAACGCCAGCTATTTGGAATGAATGTGCATATCTAATCAGAGGAAAAACCTAAATGGAGCTGTTTTTAACTTGAAAATCTAGTAATAATATGTTTCAAAAGCATCACACACATCATCTCAACCATCAAAATGACCCTACCTACCTACATCACTGGAGATGCACCAGAGGGGTCCTGGCCTAGGAGCCAACTACGGAAGCAGAACTGGGCTCTGGGCAGGCTATAGACACCAGAGTGGCCACTGCCTACAAGATCTCCCTCCTTGGTGAAGAAGGAGCCATGAGAAGGTAAAGAACAAGGCGGGGAGCGGGTGGCAGCCTCCCACTAGGAGAGCTGAGATGATGGCACCTTCCAGAAAACAGACATGGAGCCAGACACACAGTGACCTAAGGACAGGTACTTAAGAGCCTGCAAGGACAGAATCCAAAGCACAATTAAGAGTGGAGTGAGCTGGGCGGTGGTGGCGCACGCCTTTAATCCCAGCACTCGGGAGGCAGAGCCAGGCGGATCTCTGTGAGTTCGAGACCAGCCTGGTCTCCAAAGCGAGTTCCAGGAAAGGCGCAAAGCTACACAGAGAAACCCTGTCTCGAAAAACCAAAAAAAAAAAAGAAAAAAAAAAAAAAAGAGTGGAGTGAGGGGGTTGGGGATTTAGCTCAGTGGTAGAGCGCTTGCCTAGCAAGCACAAGGCCCTGAGTTCGATCCTCAGCTTCAAAAAAAAAAAAAGGAGTGGAGTGAGACCCTGTCTCCAAAACAAAACAGACCAGAAGGTGGTTGCTGTGAGAATCTAGGGAAGACAGCGGCCTGGGCCAGGTGGGGGCCATGCCAAAGCTCTATAGGACCAGCTTCCTCTGGAGTCACATGGGTAAAGGACACAGGAGCCCTCACTGAGCTGGGCTGAGCCCATGGAAACAAGCCAGAGTGGAAACTCAGTTGGAGCAGGCTGAAAGAAGGCAACCCGAGTAGCTCCAGGTAAGCGGAGGTACAGCTCAGACTGGAGCGTGCTCGCGGCAGGCACGAGAAGGAAGGGGGCATACTTCAGCAAGAGGCAAAGGCTCAAGCCAGGCAGTATCTGACAGCCCACTCACCCAGAAATCCCAATGGCTCTTCCCCAATACTCACTCTTGAGGGGTATATACCTAGGAAGGCCAGTTGTAATGTGCCAGAGAAGGCAGAGCTAACCTTGGACACCCACAAGGTGGTTCCTAGAGATCTGTGAGTGACAGGCAGTCCCCACAGTGCCAGACACACATGTGAAAAGCATCTGCCCACAGACCCAAGAACAGTCAATACACAGCGGGCACTCAAAACCACCACCACCAAAGACACAGACAAGCAGACTCACGTAAGCAAACAAGGACGGCTTCTAGGACAGACAAGTGACTGGGTAGGAAAAGCAGGTCTCAGTCTGGTGGCTTTGCCTAACATCTAACTAAGAGCTAAAGGAACCTAGGGTCAGACCCAGCTCCCCAAGATCAAAAGCCAAAAGACAGATGAAACTCCATCAGGTGATGTGATATTGTCCAAACCTACCCGACAGCCCCACCCTGACTCGTAAGGCCCCACTGGCTTTGAGCATCTTACTTCAAGGAGAGGGAGAAAATAAAGCTGAGAGAGATGCTGAGGCAGGGGACTCACCTTGGAGAAAATTCACAACTGCCTTTAGAGCTTGCACGACCTCCTGGCCGAGCAGAGGGAAGTAGTTCTGGGGGAAGAACTGGGTCAGGTTGTCGTGCTGGAGACAGTTGCCCAGGTGATCGGGCAAGCCCACCACCTTGCTGAGCAGCATCTCCTGGAACAGGGGGAAGCTGGGCTTTGTCTGCGGCCGACACTGCTCCTCCATTAGAGCGGCCACTCTGCCCTTGCTCAGAAACGTCTCCAGGAGCCGAGCCATCTTCATCAGACGGAAGCTAGGGCTAAAGAATAGCAAGTGTGTCGGGCTGTGCCCTCAGCCCCCCTAGCCTGAGTCCCTTTCTGGCCATAAAGAATCAGTCCCAGAGCTAGGGAGATGGCCCTGAAAGCTTCTAAGTTTGATCCCCAAAACCCACATAAAAAAGCCAGCTGAGTGACACACGCCTTTAATCCCAGCATCTAAGCAGGAGAATCTCTGTGAGTTAAAAGCCAACCTGGTCTACATCGTGAGTTCAAGGGACAGTCAGAGCTACAAAGTGAGACCCTGTCTCAACCTCCATCCCCTTGTCCCACCACCCAAAAAAGAAAACAAACAGGTGAGGTGATAAGTACTTGGAGTCCCAGCCCTGGGGACAGACAGGTGGATCCCCAAGACTCCCTGCCCAGACAGCCTAGCCTAATTGGCAAACTCCCAGGGCATGAGACCCCCGTCTCCAAAAACAAGAGGCTGGGCATGATAGTGCCTTTCATTTCTGCACTCTGGAGGCAGAGGGAGGAGAGAATCTCAATGAGTTCAAGGCAAGTCTAGTATAAAAGTCCCAGGACAGCTAGAGCTGCATAATAGAGAGACCTTATCTCAAAAAGACCAAAAAACAAAACCAAAGAATCAGTCCTAACAACTTCATAAGCATTTACATTTGAACTCATCCACTGAAAGAAAACACTTAATTCCACTGCTGAGCAGCAAGTTACTAGATGGATGTCCCACTGGACCTGGACATTTCTTCCTCTGCTCCTTACTGCGCTTGCCTGGGCCACAGCAGTTGGGTGTTTTTTTTTAAGTTTTGAGATTTTATTTCATGTGTGTGGGTGTTTTGCTGCAGGTACTAGTCTGTGTACTGAAGCCTGTGGGGAAGAGGGCTTCAGATCCCCTGCAACTGGAGTTACAAACCGTTGTGAGCAGCCTTTGTGAGTACTGGGAACTGAACCCAAGTTCTCTGGGAAAGCAGCTGATACTCTTAACCCATGAGCCATTTCTCCAGCCCCCACCACAGCAGTTTCTAAAAAACCCAGCTTCTCAAGGCCACTGATTGGATATGGAACCTGGGACTTGGGATCCATGGCAGCAACATAGCTGCTAGACATTTAAAAACCTGAAATTGCCAGGCAGTGGTGGCACACACCTTTAATACCAGCACTCAGGAGGCAGAGGCAGGCGGGTCTCTGTGAGTTCGAAGTCAGCCTGGGCTACAGAGTTAAGTTCCAAAACAACCAGGGATACACAGAATAACCCTGTCTCAAAAAACCAGAAAAAAATAAATAAAAACCTGAAATGTCCTGAGATGGTCCTGAGAGTGCCATAGAATGAAGGGCAGGTCCAGAAGAGGATAACAAGTGACCCACTACCTTTCTGGTGTCAGCTGGGGGTGGTGGAGACTGAGTTACTGGTTTGCTCCTGCTATCTGCAATGTGGAACCTGCTCTTCCTCTCAGCCTCCAACACGAGGGAGTGAGGCCAGGCTAAGACGCAGGCGTCCTTCCCTTTCAGAGCTGGGCACAGCTACACTCAGCTTTAAGGTGTAAGGTCTCTTCTCAGAACTTAGGCGCCCTGTTGCTCATGAGCTGCTCACCCAGCAGTGCTCTCAATGGCCTCCATCAGCACCAGGAAGGCTTGGTCTGGGGGGCCCTTCAGGAAGAAGCTCTCCCAAAGCCGCTCCAGCTGGCCATCAGGGGATAGCGCTAGCCAACCTGGGCTCAGCTTGCTGACCAGACATCTGAGAACGGCTGAGAAGTGGATGGTGGTAAACTCCTCCTTCTCAGAGAGAGCTGGATCCTCGGTTCCATCCAGGTATCGCTTCAAGGTCCCCAGGGTAGAGAGGATGTGGCCTACATCCTCTGAGGATGAAAGGGTGTGAATAGCTTCTTGGACGGTGAGTCGGACAGCAGACGGTGCTGGGTCCATCTTGCAGGGCAGGGCTGAGGGGCCCAGAAAAGCAGGTTAAGAGTCTCAAGAATTCTTCCCGTGGCACCCACGGAGGACTCGGCTAAGGAGAGAGGAGGGTCGGCTCCAAATCTCAGCAACCCCACCGGCCCTCTTTTGGGCTCCCTGGCGCCTCACGCGATCTCACTCAAGCGGTCCCTGCCTTCTCTGAGTTCCCGGCCTGCCGGGTGGTCTGACAGGGCTTCAGTAGCGGACTGTGCCCGTTAGGTGGGGCAGCACCGGTGCCCCGGGGGCTGTCTCCTCTGCTAAGCTCGCTGGTACTTGGGTGAATGAGTGGCTCTCCAGGCTGCAGCAACTGCAACCCCAGCGTCTGCAGCTCCAGGTGAGCACCCAGCCGCCTAAACACCAGGCCCTGGGCTAGCACGGAAGCTGGCCATCCCGCAAGGTCGCCACCACTGCAGACCCAACCCACCGGACCAACCACTCCTACAGGGTTCCCCCGGCCCCCATGCTTCAGAGCCAAGGCCGCGTGCTCCCTCCCGCGCGCCGCTGATTCGCCATGACACCGGGACCACGCGCCCGGTCCGTGCAGCGTCAGCCGAGGGCAGCCGTGAGTGCGAGTCCAAGAGCTCGCATGGAACTGGCAAGGATATTTAAGAATTTCTGGATCTGATGCCTATAGGGCGCTCGGGACGAATCGGCGTAGCGCCAGCGCGCTGGTGGCCGCAGCATCTGCGCCTGCGTGAGAGGAGGAAGGGGCGTGGCCTGAGAGAGGGCGGGACTGGGGTGGGTGTGTCCGCCCCTTCCCTCCGCTGGTGGCTGCTGTCTGTTTTCCCTGATTCTGGAGCGGCCCTCCCCAGCACCCTGCCCCACCTTGCTGGCTTGGGTCCGGTGACTTTCCACCATAGAGCTGGGCTTCCTGAGGACGACACTAACCCTCAGTTGGGGCTATCAGGGAAACTAAATTAAGGAAGCCAGGAATAGCAAACCCAGACAAGTGGTGATGCTGATGCACGCGGTGGGCACACAAGGCTGCATTGTTTAATGCAAACCCACAAACTGCTTGTAAACTACCTTAACTGAAACATCACTGATCAAGTAGCCTCCCAGAGGCCCTGGCTGCCGTCTGAATATTGCATTATGAAACATTCCATCATGGCAGAACTTTTCTTGACCATCCTGATCCGGAGGATATGCTGAGGCAGCAACCTTTCAGCAGGACTAACTGTGGGTGGATCTGGGCAATGTGTATTCATTCGACAGCATTAGGCAAATTTACCCTTCCTGAGAAGGAAATGGAGAACTAAAGTCCCCATTCGGGCTCAGCAGTTAAGAGCGCATGCATACTGGGTGCTGGGGTGATATCTCAGAGCTTAAAAGTACTTGCTGTTCTTGCAGAGGTCCCAGGTTCGGTTCCCAGCACCCACGGAAGTGTTGCTAATCAGCTAGCCAGGATCTGTTTACTCTACACAGGTTAAAAAAAAAAAAAAAAAAAAAAAAAACCTGGATAGTCAAAGAGCTCTTACAGTGTCAAGTGCTACCTTCCATTTCTCTTCGTGTTTGACCTCAGTGAGAAGCGGCAGGTGGCTCCCCCTAGTGTTAGGGGCCTGGAGGCATTGGGAGCTCTAACCCTAAAAGTATTCTAGCAAACTCGGGTGGCGGTGTTGTACACCTTTAATCCCAGCACTCGGGAGGCAGAGGCAGGAGGATCTCTGTGAGTTTGAGGCCAGAGCTACAGGTCTACAGAGCGAGACCCAGGACAGATATCAAAACTACACAGAGAAACCCTGTCTCGGGAGGGAAAAAAAGTATTCTAGCTCTTGTGTAGGATTCCTAGCCCTCGACAGCTTTACAGTTTTTAATGACAGCAGTGTTATAATTCTTGGCCTAGGTTTGAGACCTCTTGGCTCTTTGGAACTCTTCTGGCATCCAGGGCTGCAGCTCCTCTCGTCTGGGTTTTGATGCCTCAGCTGCTGCTCCTCGGCTGTCACAAGCTGGCTGCCCTGTCCCTTTTGCAGTTTGGTCACTGCCGCTGCCTCCCTGCTGCTTCTTTCTTCTGGATACCAGCTCAGCCCACATTCCTGACAGCAGGACAGCAGTCTCAAGGGAAGACTTTAGCTGAACCTAAAGCTACCACAGAAAGGGAGGCAGCACAGGATAGTCTCTCCGAAGGGGAACCTGAGCAGCGGCTTTCAAAGCCTAAAAGGGGCGCTTCCTCCAAGCTCAGCCTTGGCACCAGCCTCAGCAGTTCCTCCGCTAGGCCACCAGGGGGCGGATTCCCCTTCTCAACGTGGTGGAAATGGTCGCAAGGTCGCCTAGAGTTCATCCAGGCTTGTGGTAGGAGCCTGGTACAAACTGTTTCAAAAAGCCCTGCGGCTGTGCCTTCCCCAGCTGAAGCAATCAGCGACCTTAGCAATAGCTGAAGTAATACCTTGCCCGGTATAGTCAGTGAGTGCTGGCAGAAGGGCGTCCGCTGGCTGTTGACTGACAATCCTTTTGCTCAAGGCATCCAGGACAACCAAGGGAAGCCCAGCAGCTGCTAACTAAGGGGTCCAGTGGCCTCAGCACCCCAATATCTTTGCTTACTTACAGGAAATGAACACCAGAGTGCTTACAATTCAAAGAAATGTGGCCGGGCGGTGGAAGCGCGCACCTTTAGTCCCAGCACTTGGGAGGCAGAGGCAGGTGAATCTCTGTGAGTTCAAGGCCAGCCTGGTCTACAGAGTGAGTTCCAGGACTGCACAGAGAAACCCTGTCTCAAAAAAACAAGCAAGAAAGAAAGGAAGGAAGGAAGGAAGGAAGGAAGGAAGGAAGGAAGGAAGGAAGGAAGGAAGGAAGGTGAACAGTGCTTATCCCAGTGCCCCGGGGAGAGATGGGTGTCAGGAGGATCCAATCTTTACTTCAAAGGTAAAGGTGCTGGCTGCCAAGTCTGACAACCTGAGTTCAACCTCCAGGATTCACAAGGTGGAAGGAGAGAACTGAGTCCTGAAAGTGGTCCTCAAACCTTCACAAATACTCCATAGCGCTTTTACACACACACACACACACACACACACACAAATAAATAAATGCAATATTAATTTTTTTTAAAAAGGCCGGTCCTGAGAGCTGGGGAGGTGGTTTACTAGGCAAAGTGCTTGAGATACTAACATGAGGATCTGAGTTCAAACTGCCAGCACCCATATAAAAGCCAAGTGAGAGATGTGTGTCTGTGTTGCCGAGATTCCTCCCTGCAGGAGATTCAGACAACATCTACCCCCTCCTTTACAGTGCCAATGATAAACTGAGGTACAGTTCCACCGAAGTTCACTCTGGGGAACCAATGAGTTTATTAGGCTTCCTTACAGAGCAGTTGGGGAGGGATGACAGGCAGGAGCACAGATGCCCTTAAAGCCATACTGGAAGGTTGGCATGGATGATGACTCCCCATGACTGCGTACACAGAGCCCCTCCTAACCATTTCCTAGCTATATATTCTACCCCTCGTCTTCGATCCCACATGCTATGGTTGCCCCTCCTCTGTGAGGTGAGGTAGCACCAACAGTCATTAAGCCCAGCCATGAAAGCAGGCCCAGGTTGATGGTCACAGAGTGACTTGGAGGATAGTCTGTACAGCTATCTGTAACCCCGGCATTGGGGCAGGGGCATAGGTAAAGAGGTGGATGGGGGAACTTGCTGGCCAGATCAATAAATTCAAAGTTCAGTGAGAGACTCTATTTCAAAAAAATAATAATAATAATAAGATGGAGATCCGTAGAGGAAGGCATGTGACTTAAATGTTCGGTCTCTACACATGTACGTGTGAGTAAATACACACACAAAATAAATACATAAAGAAATAATCAAAGTCAACACTGGGGTCAGTCCAGAGAACAGGGAGTAAGGAGCCACCATCAACACAGTTGTGCGGGCCCATGTAGGACAATGTGGGAGTCAGAGAGGCTGGAGGCTGGTATCTCCAGATAGAGCCAAGGCTTGAGGGTGGGGTGTGACAACCCCAGTGTGAGACCTTTCTGTGACTCCATCACTGAACCCCAACTTCATTGTTCCTTTATCCATCCATCTTCCTGAAGCTCGCCATCCAGGAACTTCGCAGTAAAGGCAGGGTGGGGGAGGATGCCTCTCCCAAGCCTCTGCATATCTGAAAATGTCTTTACTCTTTGCTCCTGCTCTAATTGCATGAGCTAGATGTACTATTTTATCTTTTTATGGTTGTTTTAGTCATTTTTGTGGTGCCAGGGATCACATCTTAGCCCAGCATAAATATTAAGAGAGTCAGCGGTCCCCTGGGAAGTGTCTCGGTCACCTCCACAGTTTTTCTCCCTAGAAGCTTTTGTGATTTTTTTTTCTCCACCTGTGGTGTTCTGACACATGACATCAGTGGCCCACCCTCTGGTATGGCAGCCTGGTTCACGTCAACTTGAAATGCTGGGTACTTTTGTAGGGGACACCTTCCCAAGTTATTTTATTGCTACAAACTAGGATTCTTCGAACAACAGAACATTATCTTCTCTCGGCTCTGGAGGCTAAAAGTCTAAAACCAAGGTGACATGCTACCTCAGAAGGATGCTGGGAAGGCCTTTGTCTCCTCTGGCTTCTAGGGCTCCAGGTGTACCCCACCACAGCAGCTCTGGTCCCATCTCTGCCACCATCTTCACTGGGTCTTCTCCGTGATGTCCTCTCCTCTCTGTCTCTATCAGGACACTGGCTGTTGAGTGCAGGGCTATCACAGGGTAACCCCGCCTTAAGATATGCCTAGCAGGCCGGGCAGTGGTAGCGCACGCCTTTAATCCCAGCACTCAGGAGGCAGAGGCAGGTGGATATCTGTGAGTTCAAGGCCAGCCTGGGCTACAGAGTGAGTTCCAGGACAGGCTCAAAAGCTACAAAGAGAAACCCTGTCTCGAAAAACCAAAGGAAAAAAAAAAAAGGTATGCCTAGCCATTTTTCCCCATAAGACTATATGGGCATCATTAATCCCCCTGCACAGCCTGTAACCAAAAGCCAGTCAGGAAAAATCAGGTATGTTTACTTGATTTCAACATTACATAATATATTTATTGAAACGCCACATTCATTCAAAATATGTGCAATTTGTGCTCTGTGTGTGTGTGTGTGTGTGTGTGTGTGTGTGTGTGTGTGTGTGTGTGATCACATACCTGTAGTCCTAGCTGAGGCTGTAGTGGATCTCTTAACCCAGGAGTTCAAGACCAGCATGAACTACACATCAAGACCCTTTCCCTGGAAAGAAAAACAATAGCTAATTTTAAGTTATCCCATTCTAGAAGAAAAACCTAAGTTAAAGTCAAACTTGGTCACATTACCAAGAGGGATTTCTTTTCCAAGGGAATGAGAAGGGAACTCACAGGACCTGGCTGTGTGTGGCCGGGATGCTGGGCACCAGAGCAGACCTGGCCTTGAGAGCTTCCTGGTCACACTCAACCCCTGTCCTGCTGTGACTTCTTGGTGGAAACTCTAGTGTAGGTGCTCCTGTTAGAGCCATTATCAGCCTGTCTGCCCCAAACACATCCACCAGAACAGCTTCCCAAAGAAACTGTTTGTGCCTGTTTGAAGCTTGTTTCCCTGGGAACCTTGGGTTCTCAGAGCCCATTGGATTGGAGACGGATGCCTTTCATTAAGATGGCAGGAAGAACCTGACACTCAGCCAGGACAGAAAGAGGAAAACCATTCAAGTGGTGAGCTGTCTGAGACAGACTCAAGGATCAACCTCAGCTCCTGTGTCTGTGTCTCCCGGCATGGGCTGCTTGAAGGAGAAGACCCTGTCTTTTCTCCTCATTTTTGTGTCCATATCTGCATGTGGGACTCTGTTGCAGGAAGCTGACCCAGCTAGGCAAAGAAAACCATTTTTTGAGAGGCTTCGTCGACTAGAAGAGCAGGTAGGTGAAACACGCTTGGGCAATTGGTCTTATAAAGCCCGTAGCAGGTAATGGATGTTACGGAGAGAGCTGCTATCTGTGTCCACTGGACACAGCAATTGGTTGGCTATCCTTGCTGGAAGCTGACAATAGTCTCACCTGGTTTTGGAAACCAGGCAAGCATTTGCTAGGCTTGGCTCTAAAGTCCAACTAGACAGTGTGTGTGGGAAGATGCAGGAGACTCAAAGAGGTCTCTAGGAGGCCCAAAGAGCAAGGCCGGAGAGGCCTGGGTAGCAACAGTACAGGACAGTGTCCATAGGTGTGGGAGCTGTAAGAGCACTGTTCTTCCTCAAAGCAGAACACATGCCCTTGCCCAAGGGTCCCACTTAGGGTCTGTAGACAGTACCCTAGCCCAAGCACTTCCTATACTGATCCTGCTAAAGCCAGGCGTGGTAGTTACCCATAATCCCAGCACTCAGAAGATCTGAGTAAGATCTTCTGTGAGTTTGAGACTAGCTTGAGTGACATAGTAAGTTCTAGGCCAGCTTGGGCTACTGAGTGAGACTCTGTTTCAAAAGTAACAAGCAAAAAACCTGAAAAGGAGTTGGGTGTGGTGCCACATGCCTTTAATCCCAGCATTCAGGAGGCAGAGGCAGGCAGATCTCTGTGAGTTAGAGGCCAGCCTGGTCTACAAAGAGAGTTCCAGGAGAGCCAGGGCTACACAGAGAAACCCTGTCTTGAAAAAACAAAACAAAAACCTGAAAAGGCTAAGGCTAAGGTTGCTCAGTGGCAGAGTGCCGCTTTGCCTAGAATGAACAAAATCCTAGAATTCCGTTCCCAGAACTGTAAAAACCATGAATAAATAAATAAATAATGTGCTTGGAGCTAGAGAGATGGCTCAGCAATTAACAGCACTAGCTACTTGCTCAGGACCCAGGTTCATTCTCAGCACCCACATGATGACTCACAATTACCCACAATCATCCTGGGGCCTCCGAAGATACTGGATACACACAAAGTACACATACATGCATGCAGACAAAACACTCATACACATCAAAGTAAACAAATAAATATAAAATTTTGGGGGGTGGTTTTTGTTTTTCGAGACAGTTTCTCTGTGTAGCCCTGGCTGTTCTGGAACTTGCTCTGTAGATGAGGCTGGCCTAGAACTAAAATATTTTTAAATGTACTCATACAAACAGCTCATCTTCGGTCCCCTCTGATCACAGAGGTAGCCTTGAGGACCACAGCAGTGAGATGACTGACTGTGGTCTTCCAGAGTGTCAGAGTTGGGAAGGACCACAACCAGGGCCATGAGCCTGGAGCCCACATCTTACACCAAGCAGCTGTGGCATATCAGGACAGTCACCCCCTTTGTACCTGGCCCTTTGGGACTAGTTATGATAATCTCCCCATATGTCCTAGTGAAAGACCCTCGCCCTTCAGGCTTACATCCCCAAGCCTCAGGAAGAGAGAAACTTCAAGCACCAGGAAATGAGAAGCTAAAAATCTAGTTCCAAGGGCCACCTCACTCAGCCACTACTCAATCACCCCTGCCACAACGCAACAATGTAAAAAGATTTCTGTTAAGAGATGTGCTCAACTGTGACTGGGATAGTTGCAGGTATTCCAGGAAGGACCACTGTGACCTGTGTGTAAACTCCACTCCCGCCCTGATACCCGCCTTGAGGTTTCAGGAAGAATGTACCTGTTGACGTGAGTGTACCCACTCTGTGATCAGACCATGATCTTGTGAAACGAAATTGTATGGGAATTGTAATCTTGTGGGTTTTGTGGGTTTTTCCTTTAAAAGCCCTCATGGGGCTGCAGTAAGATGCGACTCTTGCTCTTGGGAGCAGAGGAGCCCTTCTGTACAGAAGCTTTAATAAATCCTCATGCTGTTGCATCAACTGGACTGGAGTCTGGTTTCTTGGGGCGCCCACTTGAGACCCTAAACTTTGGGGTCCAACACTAGCATGGTGACAAGGATCAAACTGGTCAATCTATATACAGTGCCACCCACAGGCTTGATACAGAATAGGGGTTTCTAAAGTATACTTAGGATGGCATCCTGCCAGTCCCATGACAGCTGTGTTCTCTTTACAGTTTCAGAGATTCCAACAGGTGACCTTAACACACCTGCAGGACATTGCCAACAACTATAACGTGCACTACAATGTGGATGCCCGCTTCCAGAGTCTGGTGGAAGAGAGCCAGGCCATAGCTCTAGCAGTGAACCAGTCTCAAGCCGCCATACAAGAGGATGTGGCCCACCTAAAAGCTTGGTTTAGGAAGAGCCAGCGCAGGAGCCGGAAGGTGGATGCCAAGCTTCAAGCTTTGAACCTCACCCTAAGCACAAAGAGCAGGAAGTGGGTGGAGGAGGAAAAGGAGCAAAAGGCACAGAGGGAGGCAACTGCAAGCCTGGCCCTGAGCATTCGGGCCCTGCAGGATGCATTGGCAAGCCTAACACAGCAAGTCCACAGCCAGGATGCCAGGCTTGCTGCTCTGGAGGGGCAGATGCAGAGGGCCTCCCCTGGTACTGAGGCTCTGGAGCTGACTACAGCCCCCACCCCCACTCAGCTTGCTCAGAGAGGCCCAGGCTCCTTGCAACTGTGGAGAAACAGCCAGACACCCAGGCCTTTACTCCAGCACAGGAGTTCCCCCCAAGACTTCGCTGTCCATGTCCAGAAGACACAGAAGTTCCAAGCCCCAAGCAGCCATCAAGCAGCCCTACCAAGGACCCACCAAGGACCAGAAAGAAGTAAGTGACACAAGCCTGTCACCTCCCTATCCAATTCCAGGTTTCACTAGCAATACCTGAGGTTATAATGTCATTCCCTATCCCTGTCACCCCAAAAGGCTTTCCCCCCAAGGGCCATATGCCCAACACCAGAAGAGAGAATGGCCAACCTTATTGCTTGCAGGTCCTCAGCAGGTCAGGTCACATGGCAGAAGGGCCTCTGTTGAAGTGATTGCATCAGGAGCCTCAGGATGAGGAACTGTGTGGAACAATGACCCTCGCTCCATACTAAGAACACGGGGTCTCGGAGTAGCCAAAGTGAAATAGTTTAGTTGGTGGTTGTGCAGGAGCCCAAAGGGCAGAACTGGCTGGTGAGTTTTATTTTCCTGACCACATTTCCTGGATTCTCATTGATGGAGTTCTTCAGAGAGGGACAATCTTTTCTACTTGTCTCAGACAGATAGTCCCCACCCCAATCCTGCTGGGCTCGTGATGCCCTCCACTTTCCCGAGACTGGGCTCAGTCACACAGAAGACCTCTCAATTTAAGACAGACTAAAAATTGCCCAGACAAGCAGTACCAGTTGCTAGATGGAAGAGAGGAGCCTGGTGCTGCCTGCTTATCTGTGATTCATAGGTGCGTTCTAAAGGCACCTCACACTAAAAACGGACCATAATGATTCATTTCCTACAGAATCGTCCTAGATTATCTGGCTGATAGTAGTCACCAGAAGCTAGAAAGGCAGGAGAGTCGGAGTTGGAGGACACTTGAGGACAGAGGCAGCGAGCGCTTAGGAGGATGTACTGTGGAACTGGGGCATAGCCAGGAACCAAGGCCTGCAGGGCTCCTACCAGTTCCAAACAGGAGGAGGAAGTTCCTCTGAGCCTCTGGAGGAAGCTGTGTCTTGGACCCCGTGAGACCAGGCTCAGGTTTACGACCTCCGAGAGAGGGCTGGCTTAAGTCAATAACCTTGGAGCAGAGTTACAGCAGCCACAGGGAGCTCAGACAGAGGCTCCCTTGCTCGTGAGGGGCTTCATAGACAGACAGCTGAGTCACACAGAGGGGATCCACCCACTCCCTGAGAAGTTAGCTCTCAGTCCTTCCTGCGGTCAGATTGTGAGGACAGAGGAGAGGGCGTGGGGCAAGCACTCCAAAGCCCCTGGGTGATGTAGGTGAGAGCGAGGAGCAGGCCTGCAAACAGGATGCTTCTGAACTGCCTCGTGCTCGGGGATGACGCTCTTCCCTCTGTTTCCAGTTTGCAGCTCGGGACCGGTGCTAACGTTTCCCAACGCCTCCACTGAAAACGTGGTCTTTCTGAGCCCCGGCTTCCTCGTGCCCCTACGAGCTCTGTCCTTCTGCAGTTGGGTCCGTGTGGCCTCCAGCCACCTGGGCACCCTCCTTTCCTATGCCACCAGAGACAATGACAACAAGCTAGTACTGCATGGCCGAGACTCCCTGGTCCCCGGCTCCATCCACTTTGTGATGGGTGACCCGGTCTTCAGGGAACTGTCCCTGCAACCGCTCCTGGATGGTCAGTGGCACCACATTTGTATCATCTGGACATCCACGGAGGGCAAGTACTGGCTCCACATAGACCGAAGGATAGTAGCCACCGGCTCCCACTTCAGAGAGGGCTATGAGATCCCTCCTGGAGGGTCCCTCGTGTTGGGCCAGGAACAAGACACTGTGGGGGGTGAGTTTGACAGCTCTGAGGCCTTTGTAGGGAGCATATCTGGCTTGGCCATCTGGGACCGGGCACTGGTCCCTAGAGAAGTTGCAAATCTTGCCACTGGGAAAGAGCTCCCGGCAGGTGCCATTCTGACGCTGGCCAATGCCACGTCGGTGGGTGGATTCGTGCAGAGGGCCAAGTGTACCTGCCTGGAGCAGTGTCCATAGGCTGCCACACACGGCCTGCATCACAGTCAATGCCAGCAAGAAGAGGCCAACACATTCCAAACCACTCCCCTGCCATCACTGCAGGGCTGGGCACCTGTGCTCTGAGGTAGGCACCCCCTGTCTGGAGGATGGGAGTAGATGGAAAATGTGTAATGGAGAAAGAGGGGGCCCCAGACTGCAACTTACTATAGTGGAATTCTTTTGTTTGGTTGTGGTTTTGTGGTTTTGTTTGTTTACTGTTTTCTGAGACACGGTCTCACTCTGTGGTCTTTATTGGCCTAGAACTTATTCTGCATCCCAGGCTGGCCTCAAACTCATAGCAGTCTGCCTGCAGAGTGCCAGATGTGAGTCACCAATCCCCCTTCCTTCTTTCCTCCCTTCCTTCCTTCCCTCCCTCCCTTCCTTCCCTCCCCCCTTCCTCCCTTCCCCCCTTCCTCCCTTCCCCCCTTCCTCCCTTCCTTTTGTTTGACAGTTTCTCACTATATAGTCTAGATATAGTCTTACTATATAGCTTGAATTCATGATCCTCCAGCCTCTTGAGTGCTGAGACACCTGGCTTTCACGGTGACATTTTTACAGGCTGCACCTTCGAGGTCATTGTCAGTTCATTTGTAGTATGCTGTACTATCACCCCAGCTGAGCTGGAGGACAGAACACTGGGCTTTGGGGCCTTCCTTCTAACTCACCTTTGTATGCATGAAAGGCTGTCAGACAGATGAGAGGCCAGTTCCTGGGGACCCTCTTGAAACTACACAGGAAGTTCTTAAAGACTCACTGAAGCTTTCCTGCAGACATGGATGTTCCAACATCCCTCTCCTGAAAAAGGCTTAACATTCTGTTCTCTCTGCCCCTTTCCAGGCACCCTGGGCATTCGCTGTAGGTCAGCTGGTCGTTTCTTGTTCTGTTTCCCTGTGATAGCTGTTGCAGCTTTCAGAACTACCATTAAAGACACACTAGTAATGCTTTAAAACATAATTTCTGAGGCATAATTTTCATATAATAATATGTACCTTTTTGTTGCTGTTTGTTTTTTGTTTTTCGAGACAGGGTTTTTCTATGTAACAATCCTGGCTGCCCTGGATCCCACTTTGAAGACCAGGCTGGCCTTGAATTCACATACATCCACCTGCCTCTGCCTCCTGAGTGCTGGGATCAAAGGTGTGCGCCACCAGTGTCCGGCTAATATATGCCCTCTTAAAAAATTTTTAAAGGTTTTAATAAAAGTGCTGAGTTGTGCAACCATCACAATCTACTTTTATTTCTTTTTTTGTTTGTTTGTGTTTCGAGACAAGGTTTCTCTGTGTAACAGCCCTTGAACTGCTGCCTCGAACTCACAGAGACCTGCCTGCCTCTGCCTTCCGAGTGCTGGGATTAAAGGCACACAACAATCTAGTTTGAGATCATTCAGTTGACAACCTCCCCCAACATTATGTCCCTGGCAACCCCGATCTGCTTTCCACCTGCGGGGTTGCCTGTCCTGAACAGTCCAGATAAACATATGTCCAGGGGCTGGAGAGATGGCTCAGAGGTGAAGAACACTGACTGCTCTTCCAGAGGTCCTGAGTTCAATTCCCAGCAACCACATGGTGGCTCACAACCATGTGTAATGAGATCTGGCACCCTCTTCTGGCCTGCAGACATACATGCAGGCAGAACATTGTATGTATAATAAATAAATAAATCTTTAAAAAAAAATAAAAATAAATATATGTCAAGTTCTTACCATTCAGCGCAGTGTTTTCCATGTTCATCTATGTGGTGCCGTGTGTCCACACCTCATTCCTTTTTGTGACTGAATAATATTTCATAGATTGTTTATCCATTCATCAGCTGGTGGGCATTTTGATTGTTCTAGTTTTTTTAGTAGTATAAATAAAGCTGCTATGATCATTCTCCCATATGTCATTGAGTAGGTAGATATGTTTTTATTTATCCTATGAAAATACTCAAGATCAGATGGACCATATGATAAATTCATATCTAGTTTCCTAAAGAAACTTCCAAACTGTTTTCCGAAGTTGCTGCCCAGTATATATCCCCATCAGCCACACGTGATGGTTTCCCCTTCCCAACACCCTTGGCAAACCTTGGTGTTGTCTATTTTGACAACCTTCTCTTCAGATTCCAAATTGGAGCCATTATAAATCAACAACAATAAAAACAAAACACAGCTGGGTGGAGAGAAGGCTCTCAGCCGTTAAGAGCACTTGCTGCTCTTGCAAAAGACCTGGGTTCAGTTCCCAGCTATCATGGTAAAGTGAAATCCCACGCAAGTCTGGTCAATAATTTATTAAGGGATTAAATGGGAATAACATGCTCACGAATACAGAGTGAGGCAGCACCGCTGCCTCTTTGTCTGCCAGGGAAAGATGGGGAAAGCTCCAGGTCACTGAACCATGGCGTCAGGAAACCTTCCGCGTCCCACAGAGCATGTACGACCCTCCTCGGTTCTTATCTCGTCACAAACTCAGAGAAGACCAGGCACCATAGGGCTAGTCACCCCAATACCATTGGCTAGACAGATCGAATCCCCACAACATCACAGCAGCACACAACCATCTGTAACTCCAGTTCCGGGGGTTCCAATGCCTTTCTATGACCTCTGTGGACACCAGCACACATGAGATGCATATACATGCATGCAGGCACCCACACACCTAAAATAAAAATACATCTTTTTTGTGATTCAAGGAAGAAATACATATTTTTTTAAAAAATACATGCTTTGACAATTAAACAGGCATTTTTACTTTCAGGTTTGGTGTGCTTTTGAAAAAAATTACCTTTATGACCCTGGAGAACCCCCAGAGAAGACCCAAATCAAGATCTTAAAATCAGAGTCCATTGGTATTTCCAGGAAAAATAGACAGGGGGACACAAGAGAAGCCCACTGAGCCTGGGGACAGGTCTGGTCCTCAGAATGCATCCCCTTCCCCTCTTTAAAAAGAAAAGATTTATTTTATTTCGAATCATGTATATATGTCTATCTATTTATATGTGGATCTATGTGCGTGCATGCTGTACGTGCCCACAGAGGCCAGAGCTCCTTTAGGGCTGGAGTTAAAATTGTTTATGAGCTAGGACGGGCGGTGGTGGCGCACGCCTTTAATCCCAGCACTCGGGAGGCAGAGCCAGGCGGATCTCTGTGAGTTCGAGGACAGCCTGGGCTACCAAGTGAGTTCCAGGAGAGGCGCAAAGCTACACAGAGAAACCCTGTCTCAAAGAGAAAAAAAAAAAATTGTTTATGAGCTAACTCTTGTAGGCGCTGGGAAGAGAACTCCAGCCCTCTAAAAGATTCTCTTGACCACTAAGCCATCTCTCATATTTGCTTCGTCCATGACCTTTGGCTATCCAGCCCGAAAGAGGCGGTGCTTCTTGCAAGTGCATAAGTCCTCTTAAAAGGAAAGAGGGAGGGGTCACACTCTCTTCTTGGCGTGATATATCTTAATAAATCCCAATTACCCATTAAACAGACTCACGTGGATTGATCTTAACAAGTGGCCTCACCTGGGGCAAACGCCCACGTGGCCTCCGCCCTCAGCCGGCTGCTGTGGCACACTTCCCACACTACCCTAGCTTTTTTTTTTTTTTTCTTTTAATTCCCGCTCCTCCTGTCCCAGAACCTAGAGCTGCAGAGTCTGCTCCCCGCCCCACGCCCCTCAGTTTCCTCCCTTCCATCTCGGCTCAGCCCACTGAGTGCTCTATTGGCTGCTGAGGGTTCGCTAAGGAGGTCGCTCAGTCCTAGCTGCCTGCGGTGTTAGCCAGAGGAAACACCCAAGCCGCTAAACCTCGGTGCATTGAACTGCGGGTCCAGCCCAACCCGGCTTTTTGTTCAGACAAAAGGGGACCCGGCGCATCCCACCAGGCGCTCTCTGGGAACTGAACTGAAAACGCCCCGGGTCCAGGAGCTCCCCAGGCACGCATGTCCCCACCTGCTCGGAGGTCTAGGCGCTTGCGGCCACCAGCTACCCTCCCAAATCTATCCTGCTCGGCGCGCACAGGCGTTAAGGCAGGTTCCCGCTGCTTTGCGCATTTGCGCTGTGCGCCGCTACCCTACCAAGCCCTGCGCAGGCAAGCACTAGCATAAACTAAGGGCAGCGTAGAGCTGCTCTTTCAAACCAACTTTGCTCTCGGCGGACAAGTGCGGGAGCAGAGTGTGGGGTGGTTCAGGCGTGCAGAGCCCGAGCTACCTTGCTGCCGCACCTGCTGGTCAAACATTGTCACTACATCTACAACAATCTCCGAGGATCGCAACTGTGGTTGGTCACTTGACAACTTTTAAACGGTAAACTCGGCTATTAAATTAATTAATTAAAATTAAAAAAGTAAAAGAGTAAGGGGGAAAGGACAGTCTTAAAACCTTTCCCGGTCAATGATTGGGAATATCACAATGCAGGGAATTAGGACCCTGTTCACTGCTACTATGGACCGGATGCTAGAAAAACTAACTGAAGAGATCAAAAACTTAGTGGGGATTGATACAGTTTCGGTCATAATTATTATCAGTCTGGCAATTCATATTCTATCCTTTAAAAAATGGTTTGATATCTGTGCCAAATATGAGAAATCGACTGATAATATGCAAAACTTAGAAAAAAAACCTACTATTCAAAAGATTCACGCCTTACAAATAGTTACTAAGGAGAATAATACAATCTTGTCTGACAAGATAAAAGCTTTAGAAATATTTGCTGATGAAGAGAGTAAAAAGGTGACTGATAATATGCCAGTGTTAGAACAGGTGAATAAAAATATACAAACCCTGGAAAAGGCCACTACTGATAAATTACAAGCCTTAGAAAATTTATTAAAGCTGATAATAAAAGCGTTCAGACACAGACAGAAGAATTCAGAGGAGAACCAACCTCTCTCCATTACCTTATGGACTGAGAGAGGAGCAGCCCAAGGCTATTAAAGAAACAACCTTGACTTATCTATATGTGATTCAACAAAGACCACCAGAAGACAGGTATCCCCAAAGCTATACAGAAGTTAAATGGGATCCTACAGGAGTGTTAGATTTAAGGAGATTTAAGGAAGCAATAGTTTCCTATGGCATGCATTCATATGACATGAGGCAGATGTTGAATGCATGGTCCACGCAGAACAGAATTACTCCAAAAGACTGGAAAGATTTAGTTACAGCAGTATTGGAATATGGTCCTCAGTTAGAATGGTACAGTGGGTGGAGAGAAGCTGAGGCCCTTAAACAGCAAAGCAAGGTTAGGGGTTTTCAGATTTCCCAAGATCAAATCCTTGGTGAGGGCTGATATGCTGATGTGGACAGTCAGGCTACATTTGATGAACACACTTTATCCCTATGCCATACTGCAGCCTTAAATGCTTGGGGAAAGATTCAAGCATCAGGAAAGAGGGCTGAGCCATTCAAAGTTATACAGGGCCCAAAAGAAGCTTTTACTGACTTTTTACAAAGATTGACTAGAGCTGTAAACATATCAGGATCAAATCAAAAACTTAGACAAGTACTAATTCGAAATTTGGCTTTTGAAAATGCTAATTTAGGATGCAGAAAGATAATTATGCCTTTGAAAGTCAGATCAGCACCCACAGAAGAATGACTCCAACACACAATCAAGGTTGAGTCTCTTAACTATAGTGACGAGGCTTGGATAGAGGAGGTGATATACCCAAAGGCATAAAGGACATCAAAGTGTCAAATATTTTAATTGTGGTAAGCCAGGCCATAAGACGAAATGGTACACAGGGTGCTCCTAGAAACAATGTGTCTTCTAGGAATGACCCAAACAGAAGGCCCCAACCTTCTGGATTATGCAGAAGATGTGGCAAAGGCCGACATTGGACCAATGAATACAGATCAACAAGAGACATGCAAGGTAACCCTCTACTATAGGGAAACACCTTGAGAAGCCTCTTGCAGGCCCCCAAGCAAAACATGGTTTAGTCATACCCAGTCACTGTGGAGGAAACTCCTTCCCAGAACAATGAGATGGTTCAGTGCGGAGTGTAAAAAACCATACTGCACTGGATGATAGAATAGCTTTGAAAGATGAATCAAAAAATTCCAAAAAACCATAAAATGAATATTTCAGTAGACTTCGGTAAATGAACAAAGACCAAATAAATAACACAATTGAAGGCTTGCTGGGCACAGGAGGGGACGTGACTATAATTGCACCAGAATCATGGCATCCGAATTGGCTCTTCAGAGGGTAGATGTTCAGTTCCTAGGGACTGGAACCCTATTTCAGGTAAAACAAAGCACAAGATGGG